ATGCTGAGAGAGGAGGGTGGGAGAGACCAAGGCAGGGTTTCATGTAACAGTTCAGACTGAGGGACCCTTCCCATTACATAGAACTAGATCATGAAATTATTGCATCATTTTCCTGTAGTTCACATCCTGGACAAAATCACTGACATTTGACACCGCTCATGGACTTTTTGAATTAGGAACACTAATTCAGCCACAGGGAGTCGCTCTGAAGCAGAATCATATTCAGTAATCACAAGATGAAAGACGATGCCTACAGGGGCTGGCATTGTGGGCTGTGGGTTTTGCCACTGCCTAGGATGCTGGTATCTCACTCAGGTGAGTGCTGGTTCGAGTCCCGGCTGCTTTACTTCTTATCCAGCTCCCTGCAAATGAGCCTGGGAAAGCAGCGGAAGATGACTGAAGTGCTTGGGCCCTTGTCACCTACGTGAGAGACCTGGAGTAAGCTCCTATCTCCTGGCTTCAGCCTGGCCCAGCCTTAGCTGTTGCAGCCACTTAGGGAGCAAGCCAGCAGATGGAAGATTCTCTGTCTCTATTTCTTCCTTTCTCTCTGCAACTCTCAAAATTAAAAAAGAATGCCTACAAATTAGGTCAGGATTTGCCCCCAAATTATTCCAATTCTCCATTTTGGTACTATAATAGCTATTCCAGGGTGTAGGTTGCTAAATATTTTTAACGTGTTAGACAATTAATTCAGGGGGCTGACGCTGCGGCATAGTGGGTAAAGCCGCCTGCAGTGCCGGCATCCCATATGGGTGCTGGTTCGAGATCCAGCGGCTCCACTTCCGATCCAGCTCTGGGAAAGCAGTAGAAGATGGCTCAAGTGCTTGGGCCCGTGCACTCCCTTGGAAAGATCTGGAGGAAGCTCCTGGCTTTAGATCGGTGCAGTTCCAGCCGTAGCGGCCAACTGGGGAGTGAACCAGCAGATGGAAGACCTCTCTCTCTCTCTCTGCCTCTTCTCTGTGTAACTTTGACTTTAAAATAAATAATCTTAAAAAAATAAAATTAATTCAGATATGAAATAATGTTTAATGAGAGAGAAAAAAACATCACTTTTCTAAAAGGACATTTCCATTTCATTAATTTAACAGTAATTAATTCCCATCGTGAGAATGCTTCAACCAGCTTAGCCAGCTCACTCAAACCCATACATTTCCTTCATTTATAAAAATTTCTTGTACCTTTTTAAAGATATATATTTATTTAGTTGAAAGGCAGAGTTACAGAGAGAGAGAGACAGAGAGAGGTCTTCCATCTGCTGGTTTACTCCCCAAATGGCTGCAACAGCTGGAACTGGGCAGATCTGAAGCCAGGAGCCAGGAGCCAGGAGCTTCTTCCAGGTCTCCACCTGGGTGCAGGGGCCCAAGCACTTGAGCCATCCTCCACTGTTTTCCCAGCCATTAGCAGGGAGCTGGATCGGAAGTGGAGCAGCCGGGACTCAAACCAGCGCCTGTAAGACATGTCGGCACCACAGGCGTCAGCTTGACCCACTACCCCATAGCACTGGCCCCAGTTCACAGAGTGCTCTGTATTCTCACTACATGAAATGTATTCAACATTTGTTGTAACAGAAAATATTCCTGTTTATGGCCGTAAATGTTTCCAGTGTTTAGGAAGGAGGGACACTTCTCCACAGACACCTGACTGTACGAGCCACGGGAGCAGGAGTGACCCACGCAGTTCCGTGCGGGGAAGCTCCCGGGCGGAAGGAGTGACTGTGTTAGAGGGGGCGCCTTCAGAGCCCGCGGAGGGACACCGGCCTTGCCTTTCCTGCCCGGACTCAGACCAGCAAAACCGTCCCCGTGTTAAATGCCAAAGGGGGAAGAACTCAGCCAATGGCTGGGGCGAAGACGCTCCGCCCCTGACCAGAGTGGGACCTGAGAGTGCCGTCCTCAGGGAGGGGCTTCCTGTGCCCACTCCTTCCCGCGCACGCGGTGCCACAGCTGGGCACTCGGGGAGGGCAGCTTGGGAACATGGCCTGGGAGCCGGTAGCGTGTGTGCAGGTGATCCCAGCCAGAGGAAGCCAGGGACCGGTGAGGGCAGGGAGGCGGGGAAAAGCTGACGGTTACAAGCAGCAGAGCCTCAATTCTTTGGGACCACTGAGAAGTGTGCAGAATGCCTGGCAAAATTATCTGTGCGATGGACGGGGAACCGGGCTATTTATGCATTGGTTTTTAGTCCCCACTGGTTTGAGATTGCCCAGAAGGCCAGTAACTGCTCCTCAATTCCAGCTGTGCTCCTGCAGCTCAGAGAACGCCCAGAGGCAGATAAAATGACAGATCCAATACTCTCTCCAGAGCACCATCATTATAAATCTAAGTATGGGGGCCAGTGCAGTGGCGTAGCAGCTCAGGCATCCCTATGCGTAGCGGTTTGAGTCCCAGCTGTTCCACTTCTGATCCAGCTCTCTGCTATGGCCTGGGAAAGCAGTGGAAGATGGCCCAAGAGCTTCGACCCTTGCACCCACGTGGGAGACCCGGAAGAAGCTCCTGGCTCCTGGCTCCTGGCTCCTGGCTCCTGGCTTCAGATCTGCCCAGTTCCAGCTGTTGCAGCCATTTGGGGAGTGAACCAGCAAATGGAAGACCTCTCTCTCTCTCTCTCTCTCTCTCTGCCTCTGCCTGTCACTCTGCCTTTCAAATAAATAAATCTTTTTAAAAAAGAAAAAGAATTGCTTTCTGTGCTAAGGATAAAAGCATGAATGAAATGTATGTGTTTAAGAAAAAAAGAAGAGAGTTTAAAGAGAATACAGAAGCGGTAACATCTTCCTGTTGCATGGCAGGAATTCAAGCAAATAAACAAGCAAACAATGGACTGGGACTCTTCACAATTGCAACATCTGCAGGACACTGCACCCCTCTTCGTGGCAGAAACTGACCAGCACCTTGTCAGCATTTTGGCCCCCAGCAGGAGGAAGTAGTGGGCAAGTGATTTCCTTCTTAAGGAAGTGATCAGGAAATTGCTCCAAGAGAGGGCCTAGCTGAGCAGCCACGTTTCCTGCTGATACCTAAAGGAGTGAGGGGGTAACTTAGTTAGCCTTGGGGCCCGTTCTGTGGTGTAGCGGGTAAGCTGCCGCCTGCAGCGCTGGCAGCTCATATCGGTGCCGATTCCAGTCCCGGCTGCTTCACTTCCGCTCTCTTCTGTTTTTCCCGCTATGGCTTGGAAAAGCAGTGGAAAGTGGCCCATGTCCTTGGGCCCCTGTAATCGCCTTGGAGACCTGGAGGAAGCTCCTGGGTCTCGGCTTCAGATCGGAGTAGCTCTGGCCATTGTGGCCATCTGGAGAATGAAGTAGTGAATGGAAGACCTCTCTCTCTCTCTCTCTCTCTCTGCCTTCTGTAACTCTTTCAAATAAATAAATAAATCTTAAAAAAAAAAAAAAGTTAGCCTTAAGGCCACCTGGTCTTGTTTTTATTTGTTGGAAAGTTTTTAATCAATTACTCAATGTATTTATTTATTATTGGTTTGTTTAGATCTTGATACGTCATATTTGTATAGGAATTCATGCATTTCTTCTGTTGTATCCAATCTGTGGCATGTAACTACTCTTAATTGTACCTTAAGATTATTTTATGGCTGAGTTATCTGTCGTAATGTCTTCACTTTCATTTTATTTTGTCTGAATCTTCTCTCTTATTTTCTTAGTTACCTTAGTTAGAGGTTTGCTGATTTTGTTTATGCTTTCAAACAATCAATTCCTGGTTTTATTGAATTTGCTATAGTGCTTTGTGTCCTCTATTTGATTTATTTATGTTCTGGTCCTTGTTATCTCCTCCCTTCCTCTAAATTTGAACTCAGTTTGTTCTTTTTTTTTTTTTTTAATTTTTGTTTTTTGCCAGACAGAGAGAGTTATAGATAGTGAGAAAGAGACAGAGAGAAAGGTCTTCCTTCTGTTGGTTCACTCCCCTAATGGCCACTATCACCGGTGTTGCGCTGATTCGAAGCCAGGAGCCGGGTATTTCCTCCTGGTCTCCCACGCGGGTGCAGGGCCCAAGCACTTGGGCCATCCTCCACTGCCTTCCTGGGGCACAGCAGAGAGCTGGACTGGAAGAGGAGCAACCGGACAGAATCCGGCACCCCAACCTGGGGTGCCAGCGCCGCAGGCGGAGGATTAGCCAAGTGCGCCATGGTGCCGGCCAGTTTGTTCTTTTTATAGTTCCTTGAGGCTTAATGCTAGGCTATTTGTTTGGGATCTTTCTGTTTTCCTTAATGTAGGCCTTGCTTGCTATCAATTTCCCTCTTACAACTGCTTTTTCTGCATAGGTTTTGTTATGTTCCTTTTCAGTTGTCATTTATCTCAAGATATTTTTAAATCTCCCTTTTGATTTCTTCTTTGATCTGTTGGTTGTTTGGAGCATATTTTAATTTTCATGATTGTGAATTTCCCAAGATCCCTCTTATTCTTGATGTTTAGTTTCATGTCATTGCAGCTGGAAACAATACTAGATATGATTTTAAGACTTGTTAAGACTTGTGTTGTGGGACAACATATCACCTATCCAGGAAAAGTTTCCATTTGTGCTAGAAAATTATAATTGTATTTGGTACTTTTGAATAGAACATTCTATTTCAATCTTTTAGTATTATTTGATCTAAAGTACAGCTCAAGCCCAGTCTTTCCATCTTAACTTACTGTCTGGTAGATTGATCAATTATTGAAAGCAAGAATATTGATGTCTCCTACTATCATTGGACAGCTATTAGTTCTTTTTCATTTCTATCAATATTTGCTTTATGTAGTTAGTTAGATGCTCCAGTGTTGGGTGCATATATGTTTATAATTTTAGGATGACTGTATTCTCATCATGAATTGGCTGCTTTAAAATTAGGGAATGACCACCTTTGCCTTTTGACAACAACTTTTGAATGGTTCTATTTTTTTAATATAAAAAATCACTACTGCTCTCTTTTGATTGATTGTTATTTTCATGGACTATCTTATGGCCCTTCACTTTCGATCTATTTGCATATGAGAACTTAAAGTTTAAATGAATTTTTTCAAGGCAACATAGAGCTCAATCTTATTTTTTAATCCATTCAGCCACCATATGTCATTTGATTGGAGAGTTTAATTCATTTGTATTCAAGATTATCATTGACTACCATGAAGATTGGTGCCAGAGAGACCCCGAGCTGCGGGGCTGACCTGACCCCATTGCGCTGAACGCAGCAGGAGGCTTTCACTCCCCCCTCTGTGGGGAAAAGTCACAGCGGTGTCTGCACAGAGGATTTCCTTGCCTTGTCCCTCTGCAGTTCCAGGAGTTCAATCTCCAGAGACAGCTTGTACACCTCCAGGGCCATCTTCACCTCGTTTGGATCTGCGAGACACTGCATGAGTCTCCTGCCTGCCTGCACCTGCTCACAGCCTTCAGGGACCTCCTGGAAGAGACACAGGCGGTGTGGCTGAGTGGTTTCTCTTCACCTCGGGCAGGAGGGTGCACCCTGACTATGGCAGGACCACAGGGTCAGGACCCAGACCACCCTCAGCCTGGGAAAACCAGCGATCCTCTAAGTCCCACCAAAGCCTTCCTCAGTGGTCATGGATGTGCTCTGGCCCACTGCCCAGAGGCCTCCAAGGGGCAGAGGCGATTTCTGCTGAGGTGCACAGAGAGCAGGATCTGTGCAGACCACAGGACCTCAGCGTGGCTCTGGGACCCCTGGGTCTAGGGGACCCTGCTCTCCGTGGGGCTCAGCATTTCTTGATCTCGAGTGAAGGCGGGAAAACCTGCCACCCCCCCTCACCCGAGTGCTTCAAGGCAAACACGGAGAGTGTCTCTGAATGGCTCAGACATGACTCTTGGCAAAGTCAGCGTCCCCATTGCTGGCCGGGACAGAGCTCTGTGGGGAGGCCATCAGGCTGAGGGGTGGACAGCACAGAACTCCCCTGAGTGTGTCACTCACCCACTCACACTTGGGCACCTCTGGCTGCCAGTTTCCGCTCTCTGCACAGGTGATGCTTGGGGAACCGACCACACCATAGCCAGAGTCGCACCGCACAGTGAGATTTTCCTTCTCATCATACTGGGCTTTAACCACAGACAGCTTTCCATTCGCTATTTCTGGTTTTGGACACAGAGCTATAATGGAAACAAATGTTAATCCATCAGTAAATCTAGGAAAAAAAGACACAGTAACAGTCTGGTAAGATTTAATGAAATCTATTTAGGTACTGCTAACTTTCCTATCCTTTTGGAAACAATAATATTGGTAATGGTTTTTCTATTTCCATGTGCCTAAGTCTCACAGGCCCGATGATGTAGGTACTGTTATTTTTCCTATTTTATCTAACGGAAAGCTGAGATATACAGAGGTTAAGGAAGTTACCCAAGGTCTTAAAGGTTGTCAGCCAAATGCCAGGATGTGAAGGTGTGTGACCCCCAGGTTGCTAGCCATCAAAGCCCCCTTCTCTCACCATTTGGATTGCTGCCAGGATCTCAGTAGGAAACTCTCCCTTTTTATTATTATTCTCTTGTGTGCAACAGACAATGGCAGCTGATGAATCCTGAAGCTATTGTCAGTAAAATTATATCTTAGCTGGATGCTTGTAGAAATTAGATCGGATCGGGACTCCTCCTGTCCCTGCTACAGCCTGCGAGTCCCTCGCACATACACACGCCTGCAGCATGGCAGGTGGCGGCCTGCACGAGGCTCCGCCCGAAGCAGCTCTCCCTTCCTGCTGCGTGGCTTTAGCCCAGGAGAGCCTACGTTCATCCCACAGCAGGTTTCCATGAAGATTTGGCCACAGGCCCACACGAACAACATGCGTGTAACAGGTAAGGACTCCAGACTCTGTCTGGAAAAACATACAAAAAACTGGGACTGAGAATGGCTTTCTGAAGGCTGAATTTTGTAACTGACAGAAAGGAGATGAAGGATTGCACATGACCTTTGCACTTTTTGCATTGGGTACCCTCTGCAAATATGAATTATTTCAAATGAACCAAGTTCAGTGTGTTCCTCCTGCCTCTGGGAGGGAGGAATGAGCTAGCGCCCGCCCACCGAGACAGGGCCGATGCAGGGGCTGTAGTTACCTTTACACACGGGGGCTCTGGGAAACCAGCGTGAATAAATGCAGGACAGTTTCCTCTCTCCGACCAGAGTGTAGCCTTCCTCACACTCATACATAATCTCCTCTTTGGAAGGAGTCCTAGAAAGAACTCTGTGGCGCCCATGGGCGACGCTAGGCGGCTGTAGGCAATCTTCATGGTGAGACAGAAAAGACAGCGTGAGCGCATAGAACTTGTCGCGTTGTGCATCCCAGAATTTGTGTGCTTTGTAGAAGGCTTCCTTCTGTTTTTCCTCCTCTGCCCGTAAGCTCCCCCGGCCTAATCCCTGCACCCGTGCTACCCTCCTGTGAGCCTTGGGCTGAGGAAAGCCTCCAACAGCGAGCCCTTAAGCTCTGCTTCACTTCACCGACAAGTTCGCTCCACTCGGCCTCGTGCAAGGACCATTGGCATGAGAGCTGGAATCAGCCCTACGTCGTATCGTTCTCATGCTATGCTCAGTTGAGTTCGGGCTGCATAGCTGAGTTGCCCATCTCTGAGAAACTGGAAAGAAACTGGAAAGAAACTGAGTTCTTACACCCAATCAAAATCGCCCAACTTCTCATCAAGAAAACATCGACTGTATTTTGAAAATATTTCAGAAGAGAGTTTATAGGAAGAATAAACTTGATGATTTGCATATTGGAATAATAAACAGGGCACAATGTGGGGCGCCTCTCTGACAGGGACTGCAGCCAGGGCCCACTAACACCCAGTGGGAAAGTGAAATAAAATAAAGCCACTGGAATGTCAGACGGAGGCCTCTGCTCGTTGCCTCCTGGTTGAAGTGAAGAACTATAGCTTCAGAAGTGTGTGTTCACCACAACCAGAAGTTTTAACACATTGACTGAGGCACCGGTGTTTACTCAGAAAACTCTCTCCTCGATGTCCTCCTGGGGATGGGGACTCCACTTTTTTCTTACCAGAATCCTGTTCATAAGTCAATTAATCAGTTCATTAATCTGCCTCCCAGCTGGTCTCCAGCTACGGCACACACATTGTGTAGACCTGTGCTCCTAGATCTCGGACCTAGAATGCCAAATGCCCTCTCACTTCTCTGCCTGCTCAAGTCGCATCTGCCCCGTGTGCGTTTCTCTCGCTTCCCCAGCAGTCATCATTTATTTTTCTGAGTGCCTATGGTAATTATTACGAGAAAAGTTTCAATCATATGCAACTATTCTTGAATTCTTACTGTAATCTAGACATCATGCATAGCATACATAATGTATATAAATATGTAGTATATGTACTTTTATAGTCTATATATTTTAGTGGACAATATCCTATGGCAAGATGTATATCCACATATGTATAAATGACTTTAAATATATTATGGATACAAGGTATCCATAATCTAGACTCTCTCTCTCTCCCTCTCTCTCTCTCCCTGACTTTTTTTTTTAAGAATTATTTTATTTTATTTTATTTTTTATTTATTTATTTTTTTGACAGGCAGAGTGGACAGTGAGAGAGAGAGACAGAGAGAAAGGTCTTCCTTTGCCGTTGGTTCACCCTCCAATGGCCGCCGCGGCCGGCGCGCTGCGGCCGGCGCACCGCGCTGATCCGATGGCAGGAGCCAAGAGCCAGGTGCTTTTCCTGGTCTCCCATGGGGTGCAGGGCCCAAGCACCTGGGCCATCCTCCACTGCACTCCCTGGCCACAGCAGAGGGCTGGCCTGGAAGAGGGGCAACCGGGACAGAATCCGGCGCCCCGACCGGGACTAGAACCCGGTGTGCCGGCGCCGCTAGGCGGAGGATTAGCCTAGTGAGCCGCGGCGCCGGCCAAGAATTATTTTATTTATTTATTTGAAAGAGAGAGTTACAGAGAGAGGTAGAGCCAGAGAGAGAGAGGTCTTCCATTCACTGGTTCACTCCCCAAATGACTGCAATGGCCAGAGCTGAGCTGATCCAAAGCCAGGAGCCAGGAGCTTCTCCCAGGTCTCCCACGCAGGTGCAGGGGCCCAAAGACTTGGGCCATCTTCTACTGCTTTCCCAGGCCACAGCAGAGAGCTGGATCGAAGAGGAGTAGCCAGGACTCAAACATATGGGATGCCGGCACTTCAGGCCAGGACTTTAACCCACTGTGCCACAGCACCGGCCCCTCTCTCTCTGAAATTTTTTTAAAAAATCTAAAAAATAAGAAAAGCAACTCTGCAATCATCACCAAGTGATATCAAGAAAGTTCAAAGTCTGAACTACCTGGGATCATTCTGGAGCTCTGGAAACTAATCTTGACAAATTGTCTCAATGTCCTTGTGAGATGACAGAGTGGCATGTGGGGCTCCACACTCCACCTGCTTGGCTCATAACCCTTGCATTGTTAGAATGGAGAATTACTCCGTATCACATGAACAGGAGACACAGACTCCACAGAAACCAGCTGAGCTCCTGGTGAAATCTTTTCTTCTCTGTTGAGTGAGTTAGGAATTCTGCATAGAATATTCTATTATAAATGCTCCGACACACGGTGTAAGCCCAGGCAGGGGTAGCGAACCTCCAGCCTAAAGCTGTATGAGGCCCACAGAAGCATTTGGTCTGGCCTTCTCAAGCCAGGTCAGGCAGCACTCAACATCAAATACATCGAGAGCAGGCTAATTTTTAAGTCAACCATTTTGGAAGGCCATGAATGATGTTACAAATACCCAAATGGTCCTTGGCAGAAAAAAGGTTCCCCACCCGTGGGAGGGATGTGTGTGTAAATATCTTTAAAATATTCTTAGGAAGATTTTCTCTTGCAAAATGTACCAGGAGAATAAGAAAGGATACTTTTGTTAGCATTTCCATTTACAAATTAAAATAATTATTCTCATCAACATTTATGAGCAGCACACCTGCAGGTCCTCGCAAGTCCTTTCGGTACTAGGGTACTAGTTGTCTGGGGACAGTAACTTCCCCAGTTGCAATGCGACTCCTCACACTTGCACGGCATTTTCAGTGAATATACTGCTTTGCAATTTTACTCTGGGAAATTCACTCGTTATATACAACAACATAAAATTTTGCTTTCTTGATGGCAAACATGTTCTACCCAATCATTAATGCAACAAAAACAATTAGGCTAATAGAAGAATTAGTTGCCTAAATATTTAGGAGTACCCACTTAAATTTTATACCTGAATATAAAAATTAAGCATATTTTTGATCTTTCAGTTTCTCAAGGATTGGTAATATTTTGTTTCCATGTAATTATACCCTCCATTGAAAGGACTAAAGCTATTTTAAGGCATTTTTTAATAATGTGTTCCAATGTATTTTTTCAAAATTGAACTGAATCACATCTATTTGATTCTACTTAACTAATTCTTAATCAAAATTTTCTCTCCTATCTAGGTTTACATTCTTCCCTCTTCTCCATTAACCTGCATACTCACCACAAAGGCCAGGTGGAGCCCACAGGAGGCACAGGACCTGGAGGAGGCACAGAGCTGGGAAAACTTCCTGCAATTTGGGGGTCATGGTACAGAATCTCAGAGCAAAGCACCAAGGTTCAGGATTTTCGGGTGCCCCGAACCAGGCTAAAGTTGAGGCTCCAAGGCAGTAGCAAAGCAACACCCAAACTGAGGAAGTAAGTCGTGGCAAGAGCACAGCTTTCAGTCACCAGAGAGGAGGGGCCTGGCTGTCGACCAGAACCAGGACCCAATGGGAGCCGTCCAGTAACGCGCCCAGTCTCCAGGAGAATGAGATGAGCTGGACAAGAAGGCTCCCTGGGATTCTGTGGGTGTTTTATTTATTTATTTATTTTACAGGTAGAGTTTACAGAGAGAGAGAGAGAGAGAGAGGTCTTCCATTCCGCTGGTTCACTCCCCAATTGGCCGCAACGGCTGGAGCTAAGCTGATCTGAAGCCAGGAGCCAGGAGTTTCTTCCTGGTCTCCCATGCGGGTGCAGGGGCCCAAGGACTCAGGCCATCCTCCACTGCCTTCCCGGGCCACAGCAGAGAGCGGGACTGGAAGAGGAACAACCAGGACTAGAACCCGGCACTCATATGGGATGCCGGCGCCGCAGGCGGAGGATTAACCTAGTGCACCATGGCACCAGCCCTCTGCGGGTGTTTGCAGTGAGAACCCCAGGACTTGTTCGCCATCTCTTTTCCACCGGTAGCAGGGGAACCAGCTGGCTGCCTGTGTCCATATATACGTCGTTCGCCTGTGAGTTAGTGAGGTACAGCTGTACAGCAGGTTCTTCAGGGGTCAGGGCGAGATGCTGAGGCATGCTCTATACCATGTCCCTGAGGTGCCGCTTGCATGACTTCCCAACTTGAAAGTGAAAGTTAGAAAGATCTATAGGTGGGGCCGGCGCTATGGCGCAGCAGGTGAATGCCCTTGCCTGAAGCACTGGCATCCCATATGGGCGCTGGGTTCGAGACCTATCTGTTCCACTTCCAATCCAGCTCTCTGCTGTGGCCTGGGAAAGCAGTGGAAGATGCCCAAGTTCTTGGGCCCTTGCACCCACATGGGAGACCTGGAAGAAGCTCCTGGCTCCTGGCTTCTGATCGGCACAACTCCGGCTGTTGCGGCCATTTGGGGAATGAACCAGGAGATGGAAGACCTCTCTCTCTCTCTGCCTCTCCTCTCTCTGTATAACTTTCAGTTTCAAATAAATAAATAAATCTTTAAAAAAAATAGAAAGAAAGATCTATGGGTAAGTTTTCTTCCCAGACACGTCACAGGCTAGCTGGAACAGGAAACGCGTGGAAGTCTATGACTGTGAAAAGACAAAAATACAGACCAAGCAACAACTCTTTCCACAGGTATGGGTGTTGTCGCTGTTTCTGCAATGCCAAATGAATCATCTTCAGTGCTACACCCGTTGGAAAGCAGAGGTAAATTTCTCAGGGCAGTGTTCACAGCACAGATAAAAGTGCGTGGAAACTGAGTGGTAGACAAATGAGGCGTTACTGATGGACAATGTTTCAGCACAATGTTAACACATTTTCAAAGATGCTGGGTCAGAGCGAGGCACCTTGCTCCCCAATATCATAAGTCGGATAAAAGCACTAAAAGATGTTATAGACAGCCCACATTTTAATCTAAGACTTGGTTCATTAATAACTGTCTCAGTGGCTATTGACCCATTAATAATTACCTGGGTCTTATGCGAGGATTACTTAGTCTCCATGAAGGAGACAGATAAAGTTGTCAACGTGCTTCTCCACATCTTTTACCCTCTGGACCAGCTATGACTGTCTGTGACTTGAAGATACAGAGATATTGTGCCGCAAACACACAGACATGCTTGAAAATGACCTTCACCACAGAGCTGAGCTCTTGTGAGTGCAATAGGCAGAGAACAGCAAAGTGCTTAGCTCTCAAAAATAAAGAGGAACACTTTACAGAACAGTGATGACAGCACAGCTAAATTTCAACCGTGCTAGAGAAAAAGGAAAGCAAATAAGCCTACCATGTGTTTTCTTCCTTTTACAAAGAAGACCTCAGATGCAATCTATGTTGGATCATGGAGGTCACTGAAATAATTAAATAATGATCACTGAATTAACACCATTCTCAGAAGTTTGTGCTTATTAATCATGTTCCAAACTTCCACATACACTGTAGCTATTCATTTCTTTTTGAAAAAGATTTATTTATTTATCTGGAAGGCAGAGATACAGAGAGAGGTAGAGATAGAGACATAGATATCTTCCATCTGCTGGTTCACTCTCGAAATGGCCGCAATGGTCAGGGCTGGGCCAGGCCAAAGCCAGGAGCCAAGAGCTTCCTCCTGGTCTCCCACATGGGTGCAAGGGCCCAAGCATTTGGGCCATCTTTCTTTGCTTTCCCAGGTGCATTTTCAGGGAGATGGATCAGAGGAGGAGCAGCTGGGACTCAAACTGGCACCCATATGGGACGCCCGCAATGCAGGTGGACCTGCTACACCCTACTGCCGGCCCTGCTATTAATTTCTTGAAGCAAAGCTATCGTGGCCATAGTTGTGGCACAGCAGGTAAAGCCACTGCCTGCGATGCCTGCATCCCATAAGGACACCAGCCCATGTCAGTGCTACTCCACCTCTAATCCAGCTCCTTGTTAATGGCCAGGGAACAGCAGCACAGGATGGTCCAGGCTGTTGTCTCCAGCTTCTGTGAGCCTTCCCAGCTCAGGCCCCAGACACGTGGCTGAGCAAGTCTTCAGCTGATTCCAGCTCCCAGTCTTTCAGCTGCCCCAGTTGATGCCGAGCAGAGCAAAGCCACCCTCCCCCCCAACCCCAAATCCTGCATGCAGGATGTGTGAACAAAATGAACATTGCCCTTAGAAGCCACAAGTTGTAGGATAGGTTATTATGTAGCAATCAGTGGCATTAGACTTCTCTACATTAACAAAAAAAATGTTTTTGATCATTTTAATGAATGCAGAAAAAATAATTTGATAAAACTAAGTATAGATTTCTTTAGTGGGGTGCAGAAAAGCAGGAATCAACAGGGAACCACTTGATATACAGTATATTTAGGGATTGGTTCCAGAACTCATGCAAATAGCAAAATCTACACGATGCTCAAGTCTCTTTTAAAAGTGTAGTGTCTGGATATTAACCCAAGTACATCTTCCTGTGTACTTCAATTTTTATTTATTTATTTTCATTTTATTGAAAGGCAGAGAGAGACAGAGAAATCTTCCATCTACTAGTTCATTCCTCAAATGTCCCCAACATCTGGAGCTGGGCCAAGTTGAAGGCAGGAGCTGGGAAGCCCATCTGAGTTTCCCCCTGGAGTGCCAAGGGCCCAAGTACTTGGTCATAGCTGCTTCTGCATGGGTGTGCATTGGCAGGAAGCTGGATCAGAAGCAAGGTCAGCAGGACTCAAACGAGGCACTCTGATAGGCAATTCAGGCATCTCAAACAGCAGTTTAACCATTGTGCCACATGCCTGCCCCGTTCTGTGTACTTACAATCCTCTCCATATTATTTTTTGAAAGTTTATTTTTTATTTATTTTGAAAGACAGAGTTACACAAAGGTAGAGAGAGAGAGAATCTTCCATCCTCTGGTTCACTCCCCAGATGGCTGCAATGGCAGGAGCTGAGCCCATCCAAAGCCAGGAGCTTCTTCCAGGTCTCCCATGTGGATGCAGGGGCCCAAGGATTTGGGCCACCCTCCACTGCTTTCCCAGGTGCATTAGCAGAGAGCTGGATGGGAAGTGGAGCAGCCAGCACTTGAACTGGTGCCCACATGAGAGGCCAGCGCTGCAGGCTGGGGCTTTAACCCACTATACCACAGCATCAGCCCCTCCATATTATTTTAAATATCTACTACAATGTGAATCTATAATCAGTTATACTTTATTGTTTATAGAATAATGATAAGAATAAGAAGCGTGTTTACTACAGATGAAATTTTTGTTTTAAATAGTATCTACCCATAGGTGGATGAATCCACAGATGCAGAACCCACACCTTCAGCCAGCCAACTGTATTGTATTAGTAATACAGAAGGCGATACTTCATTAAAATTAACAATTTATGTTTATGAAAAGACACCTTATGAAGCCTTACTGAAGTTAAAAGGCAGGCCCTAAATCAGAAAAAAAAGATAATCGAATACATATCTCACAAAGGACTTTCATGCAGAATATATTAAAATGCCTACAACTAAATTAAAATTAGGTAGATGACCCAATGAGAAAATGGCATAAAAGGCTTGCAACAGCACTACATAAAAATCTAAATGGAAAATAAGCATATGAAAAGTAGCTCAATCTCAGTAACCACCAGGAAAGAACAAAACTAAAAGCACAAGGTGATATCCCCTCACACTCAGCAGAATTTCTCAAAAGGAAAAGACATAATCAATAGCAGGTGTTGTTCAGAAGGCTCATGCTTTCAAAATGGAAGTGTGGCTGGATTCAACCACTTTGGAAAATCACCGACCAGGTACACAGACACCGCCTCTGAGCCAGCAACCCCACCCTTAGGTGGAGCTGCACACTGAACGAAAATGCATGTGTTCAGCCAAAGACCTGAACAACACGTTTATACCAACGTTGTTCGGAATTGCTGGAAAACTGAAAAACAAAACAAAACAAAGAACAAGTACCATTATCAGTAGACTAGAGAAACCAATCACGTGTGTTCTGCGTGCTAGGATGCAAAGCAGTCATGAAAATGTGTGAACCTCAGCCACATGCGACACCAATGTAAATTTAGGAGAAAAGCTCCCGAGGGAGAGACTGTGGAAGGTGTGATTCTGTTCCTACAGAGTTGAGTCACAAGAGAAATGGCTCTGGGCAGTGAAAATCAAGGAAAGAAGAGTTGTTTGGCAAGGGTAGGGTGCGGAGTCAGTGCCTGGAAGAGAGCTCCGAAGGGCTTTTGCAGCCTGCAGCACACCCTGGTTTCCCGCTATCCAGGTATGTTTGCTTTGAAAATTCTTGAACTTGTTTCTCTTTCTATAGGTAAAGGGTAGGTAAGTTTTGAATATGGGAGGTATGGAGTGAAGACATTCAGGAAAAGGGAATGTCCTGGCTTCCATTCTTTCTGAGGTACACAAGAGGGGAGATGCTGTGAATTACACACTTTTTAGGCTGTGAATTTGTGGACTGGGGGCGTGTCACATTGACAGAACAGGCTGATGAAGACGACAACACAGACAAGCTGATATGTGGTAGATTTTTATTTATTACCCAGCACTTCAAGTCCAGGAAAATAGACAACTCAGGCATCCAAGGCTGGATTCTTGATAATTACTCGCTTTCTGTAGCAATTATCATAACCTGCTTATCAGAGCCCAGACACTTACTAACAGGAATGCTGGTGCTTAAAGAGGAGTAGGGTTGCTGAACGGAGATTCTGCATATTAATTTAGGGGCAAAAATGACCCCTTACTTTTCTTTCCTTTGGAGAATTTCTGATTGCTGTTTTGCGTGTTCTCTTGCTCCAGGCGCTCGATCTCCAGCGACAGTTTGTACACACTCAGGGCCATTTTCACATCCTCCGGCGTGGGGAGACACTGCAGGAGTTTTCTGCCCACCATCACCTGCTCACATTCTTCAGCCATCTCCTAAAAGTGATGGAAAGAAACAAGCATGGGACGGGGTGGTGCCTTCGAGAGATTGATTCCCGGGAAAAGTGAGGTTGCCCTGAGGACTGATGGGAGAGGAGATCAGGAGAACACTCGCAGGCTAAGCCCAGATCTTCTCCCGGGCAGCAGCCACGCACAGCTGCAGCAGGCAAGAGACAAAGCTGCCAGGGAGCCCCAGAGCTCCTCCACCTGCACGCTGAGGAATGGGCTTATTGACCAACCAGAGACAAGGGTGCAGCGTTTGTTGTAGAAAACGTAGAGCGGGACGTCAGGACGTCTGGGACTATGGAGCCCTTTTTTCCAGAGTCTGGGCTCTAGCAGGAAACTCGCCTCTCCCGACTCACCGCTGGTCTAATTTTTAAACTTACACATCCTGAAAAAGTCAGATGTCACCATTGCTGGCTGGGACACAACCTCTGGGGAGGCCATCAAGTTTAGGGGTGGACAGCACAGGACTTCCCCAAACTCTGCCACTTACCCATTCACACTTGGGCACCTCTGGGTACCATGTTCTGTTTTCTAAGCAAATGATATTTGGGGGACCAACCACCGCATAGCCAAAGTCACACTGGATGGTGATATTTTCAAATTCCGTATACTCATCCTTATCCACGGACAGCTTTGCATTTTTTATGTATGGCTTCAAACACCGCGCTGCAAGGGAAACAATTTTAAGCATGCTCTGTTTTTCAGAAAAAGGCATCCTGACAGCACTGGATAATAACAATGATGAGAATTTTTGTTCATAATTACATTTAGATCCCACAGGCTGTCCTATACCCTTTCAATTAATGGCCATTGTAATAGTGATAACATTCAGTGAGCTAACACTACATGTCCCTCTATGTGCTAATCTTTTTGGTTTGCACTTTCTCACTTAACCCTCAGCACAAGCCCATAAGCTACGTGCTGTTATTATCAGCATTTTTCCAATAAGGAAACTGAAATGTTAATTTCCTTGGTATCCCTTAGCTCTCAAATGGCAGAATTTGTGCTCTTAATTCCTACCCTCAAAATCCTCTCTCTGGGTATGATCCTGAGTGAGTTCTTCTCACTGTCTTTGTCTCATTGTCTTCATGGGTTAGCTAGAGACAGTGGTGATTGTTAGCAAAAGGACAAAGCACCTTGAGCAAGGAAGAGACAGACAGGTTCCTGGCCCATCTTGTCTCTACAACAGGTTGACCAACCAGCATCACTTCCAGTTCATCCAAAGTGAAGATGGAAAAGTCATAAAATAATGATGCCTTCATGAAGCTTTTGTGGAGATTTCCAACAATTCATGACTTGGGAATTAGCACTTGAGATTCCTTTTTCTTGGATAGTTGGGTTTCACTCAAGAGACTCAAGTAAACTTACTGAAGTTGCCAAGACATCATCTCTAGATAACATGGGAAGATACCTAAGAACTTGGCATGATTGGCTGCCCATGTGTGGGGTAGGTTGTGGCTGTGAAGGGCTGAAGTGGAAAGTAAAGTTCATTTTCATTGTCTCTGTCAATGACTTGATGTTTACTGGTGTGATTTAAATAGTCAATGTAAATAAATACACAAAAATTTATGTCATCCTTGTTCTCCACATTTTTAACTGTCTCTTCACAATGGTGTGTATGGAGCTGGAGTTAGCTCCACCCGTAGCCAAGGTGATAATCTGCAGAGCGCAGCAATCCTACCAAGTTACATCCCTCACAATTTTTCATTTTTAACTTTATTTGAAAGGCAGAGACAGAGACAAAACAGAGTGACACAGACAGAATGAGCTCCCATCTGCTCAAATGCCCAAGAACTGGAGCCAGGAACTCAGTCTGGGTCTCCTTGTAGGTGGCAGGGACCCAACTACTCGAAACCTCCCTGCCCTCTCTCAGCATCTGAATTCACAGTCATCTGGAGTCCAAGGCAAACCCAGGCATCAGACCCAGGCGTTCAGACATCCGAGGCAGGCATCTCAGTCATTAGGCTCCACACCCAGCCCAGTCACTTCCAGAGTTAGCTTTGTAATAAGCAAGTGCCTTAGTCTGCTTTCTGTTGCCATGGGAGAATATCACAGACTGTGTAATTCTTACAGAACACAAGTTTATTTAACCCGTAGTTCTGGGGACCGGCAAGTCCAAGGGCATAGCTCCTGCATCTGGTGAGTGTCTTCATGTTGTTTCATAACATGGTGGAAGGTGGAAGGACGAGAGGAAGCCAGGATGAAAAAGCGAGACTCATGGACATTGGGATGAAAGCCTCCACTGGCCTTTTAGTCAGATCCTTCAAATTCATCCAGCATTTTTTCTATTTAAACAAACTAGTTAAATCATCTTGTCTAATATACCCTATGTGTTTCTATTACATACTTCCTCCTGTGATTTTTCCTTATTAGAATTCTCTTGGGGGCCGGCACTGTGGTGTAGCAGGTGAAGTCACTGCCTGCAGTGCCAGCAACCCATATGGGCACTGGTTCGAGTCCCAGCTACTCCACTTCAGATCCAGCTCTCTGCTATGGCCTGGTAGCAGATGAAGATGGCCCAAGTCCTTGGGCCCCTGCACTCGCTTAGGAGACCTGAAAGAAGCTCTTGGCTCCTGGCTTCAGATCAGTGCAGCTCCAGCCATAGCGGCCAATTTGAGAGTGAACCAGCGGATGGGAGATCTCTCTCTCTCTCTCTTTCCCTCTCCCTCTCCCTCTCTCTCTCTACCTCTTCTCTCTCTGTGTAACTCTGACTTTCGAATAAATAAATAAATAAATAATCTTTTTAAAAAACGAATTCTTTTGTATCTATTCGTGAACTCAAATTTCACTTTCTCTGTGAAGCACATTTTGACTACAATGTCTACTTTCCTTTTACAGCAGTTGTTAGCAATCGATTACTTGTGACTACTTATTGAGTTCTCACCATGTGCCAAATACTTTGCTAAGCTCTTTCAGGCAGGATCCCAGTGAAACTTCACAATGACCTTGGAGTTGGATATCATCCTCATCCTTTTCCGTGTAATGGAAGAGAAGCTTAAAGGAGTTAGAACATTGCCCCAGGAGCACAACTATCGGGCACGTAGGGCAGGACTGGATTCAGATCTGTCGCCATTCACAGTCTTTTGCTTCAACTACATTCTATTTTTTTTGTAGTATCTGTTTAACAGCTGTCTTATAGTACCCATCACATTCCTTTCTCTCTGCTTTGATATCAAGGGCCATGCCTTGTAAGAGTCTATGTCCCTAGCAACCAATTTCTTTCTTTAAACATTGATTGTGGACATGACATTTTCACCTATAGTTAAGTCTAGAGCTCATGTATAATCTTTAGCAAAATTCATTTCAAATACTCCATAAAAGGTAACTTTTAATTTTTACTAACACAAAAATAAATTTACATGCTCAGCATTGAACTATGCTGTGGAGGAAAATAAACCTAAACAATGTGAATGGTTGACATCTGTAACAGCCAGTTGATGATAAAGCACCAAAAAGCTCATACAGAGAGTAAATTCAGTAGAGAAGGGAGACACAGCGTCAGCTAGAGTATTAAAGGAACATTTTTTTATAGAAGGATGGAGAAGAGATTGGAAAGTTGGGTAGAAAGCTTGGATTGGTAGATGAGAAGTAGGAGAACATTTTCCATGGAGTAACAGTAAAGAAAAAGCTTAAGGCTCCAAAGACTGTTAACAGAGAAGAGATGACAAGGGGAAAAAAGTTTGAGACTGGCTTTTCCTGCTGAATGTATTACCCAAAAGGAGATAACATAAGAAATCACTGGGTTAATGACACTTTGCACTATGGGGACACTGTCTTTCAGGATGCAGTAGACATTGAACTATTTGCCAATACCTGTTCACCCAATAGCCAGAATACACAGAGCCAGCAACCAAACAGGTTGGTTGGCATAACTAATGGCAGTTGGCCACATCTAGGATGTATTTTTCCTACTTCCAACTTTGGACTCTTCTAGACCGGAAGTCCTCCTTCCCAGAGACTGGGTGGGGGAGGGGATAATTCAACAAGGAAACACTGAAGCACCCTACTAAGCTTGAAGCAGTGGTCCTCACAAGATTGCAGTGGGCTCTTCACACAGGTGAGAAAACTTGGGGGCAGGGAAACCAGCACTACATGGGTATTGCATTAGATTGTAGTCACCACGAAGAGCCTGAATGATTGTGACATTATCGCGTGAGGAAAGACTATATCCGGAATCCAGTGTCTCTTGATGCTCCCATACCTGGAGGCAACAGTGAACGGACAGTTACGAGACACCAAGCTGTCTTCTTTGTGAGGGATGACAACCAGGGTGAGCTCATCTGTCAGGCAACCTGCACCAACTCAAGCACTGGCTAAAGGGGAGAAGAATCCAGAATGGGTAGCACAGCAGATATTACCAGTACCCACAATAGCCTCAAGGTCAGAGACAACTTAAGGCACTCACCCTCCCTTAGAGTGACTTTTAAGGGCTGGGGCCAGAGTTACTTTGAAGAGTCGGTGACTCTGCACAATTAATGTGAAGTAGGAGCAGAACCGAGTTAGACAAGGGGTTTGTGGTGGAGCAGATGTCACGGCCATGTCACAGCGTTTTGGGCCACCTTGGATTACAGAGTCAGGTGGAGTATACTTAGATTTTTTTCTTAAGTTTATTTCATTTCATTTGAAAGGCAGAGTTAGAGAGAGAGAGAGGAGGGGGAGCAGAGAGAGAGCTCTATCTTCCATTTGCAGCTTCACTCCCTAAATGGCTGCAATGGCCAAAACTGTGCCAACACAAAGCCAGGAGCCAGGAGATTCCTCCAGGTCTCCCATGTGCGTGCAGGGGGCCAAGCACTTGAGACATGGTCCATTGCCTTCTCGGGCACATTAACAGGGAGCTGGATTGGAAATGGAACAGCTGGGACTCGAATTGGTGCCTATATGGGATGCCGGCACTGCAGGCGGTGGCTTTACCTGCTACGCCACTGCACTGGCCCCCATACTTAGATTTATAATGATGGTGTTCTGGAGAGTATTGGATCTGTCATTTTATCTGCCTCTGGGCGTTCTCTGAGCTGACGGAGCACAGCAGGAATTGAGGAGCAGTTACTGGCCTTCTGGGCAATCTCAAACCAGTGGGGACTAAAAACCAATGCATAAATAGCCCGGTCCCCCGTCCATCGCACAGGTAATTTTGCCAGGCATTCTGCACACTTCTCAGTGGTCCCAAAGAATTGAGGCCCTGCTGCTTGTAACCGTCAGCTTTTCCCCGCCTCCCTGCCCTCACGGGTCCCTGGCTTCCTCTGGCTGGAATCACCTGCACACACGCTACCGGCTCCCAGGCCATGTTCTTAAGCTGCCCTCCCGGAGCAGCCCAGCTGTGGCACCGCGTGCGTGGGAAGGAGTGGGCGGAGGAAGCCCCTCCCTGAGGACGGCACTCTCAGGTCCCACTCTGGTCAGGGGCGGAGCGTCTTCACCCCAGCCATTGGCTGAGTTCTTCCCCCTTTGGCATTTTAACACGGGGACGGTTTTGCTGGCCTGAGTCCGGGCGGGAAAGGCAGGGCCGGTGTCCCTCCGCGGGCTGTGAAGGTGCCCCCTCTAACACAGTCACTCCTTCTGCCCGGGAGCTTCCCCGCACGGAACTGCGTGGGTCACTCCTGCTCCCGTGACTCGTACAGTCAGGTGTCCGTGGAGAAGTGCAAACAACGTGTACAGGAGAAATGAGAAAACGAGACAGCGGGATTTCGCCAGCTCCACTGTTTGCTCTCATAAGACAAGTCCTGCTGTAAGGTTTTCCTCCCGATGTCCTTGGTCCTTGAGCTGCCTTGCGAGCAGCCAGTGCTATGCATCTGTGACTCTGCTTGCACCACGCATCTCAGGAGAAAAGCCTCACACTCACCTGGCTTTAAGCAGCTTGATCATTCAGGAAGCTAAATGACATCACTGGGGATCTGGGAAGTAACAATGACAAATACTCTTGACATTCTCACCTGGCTCACACTTGGGCATTTTAGGATTCCACGTGCCGTCCACCTGGCAGGAGCTCCTTCCATCAGGAGAGATCGGGTAATAGCCTTTATCACACATGAATGACACGTAGTCTCCATAGGCATAGACGCATATCCCAGTGAAGTCTCTCCTGTCGCTTATGATAATGATCTTCTCCATGTCTGGTGTTGGGCAGCATACCCCTGACAGATGAAAACAATGCTTAGGTTAACAAAATCGCTCCGTGGATACACCTATAGCTGAAGCCCCGACGGCCTCCTGTAGATCTTTGTAATGAAACGCATGCAAGCCGAGAACAGAGTGGGGGTTGACAGGGGCTGAGGGGAGAGGAGGACATGGGAAGTTGTTCAACAAGTACAGAGCTGCAGTTGTGTGAGACGGTTAAGTTCTGGAAATAAGCTGAATGACGTAGTGTCTATAATTAACAAAAGGATAGATTTCATGGTAAGTGTTTTTATTACGATTTAAAAAGAGAAAGAGAGGGGTGGATATCTGGCACAGCAGTTAAGATCCCACTTGGAACACTCATATCCCATACCAGAGTGCCTAGGTCAAGTCCCAGCTCTGCTTCCAATTCCAGTTTTCTGCTAACGTGCGCTCTGGGAGATAGAAGGTAAAGGCTCCAGTACTTGGGTCTCTCCCCACTGGTGGGAGACCCGGATGGTATTCGAAACGTCTGGCTTTAGCCGGCCGAGCCCTGGCTTTTGTGAGTATTTGAGAAGTAAGCCAGCAGATCTCTTTCTCTCTGTGTCTACTTGTGTGTCTCTGTCTCTGCCTTTCAAACAAATAAAAAAAATCATTTTTTAAAAGGTAAAAACAGAGGGAGAGGAAGCACAAGATGTGAGAATAAGACCATCCACAGATGCATAAATCTGAAAAACTACTCGGATGAAAGTGCTGTCCAAGGACTGGAATAAACAGCTAATTTACCTTTCTCAGACGTTGATGCACACCCACAAGCAGCAAGAACATCCACGAAACCATGACTGCCTAACAGAATGAACAAGGTGCTAGAGACTGACCATGAAGCAATGGATGTGTGTGACAGCAGAGGACTGAGAAGACCTATTTTAATGAAATTTAGCAAACTTCAAGAAAACACAGAAGCAACTCAGAGACTTGACAGAAAAAGTTAACAGAGAAAATGAAAAAAAAAAAGATTACATCAAGCAGAAATCTCAAAGCTGAGTACAATAAATGAAATGGAAAATGCTATAGAAAATGCCAGTAACAGAACTGATCAAATGAAAGGACTAATGGGTTTAAAGATGGGCTATTTGAAAATACACTTAGGTAGAAGAAAATTGAAAAAGAGAATTAAGGAAGCTATAGAAACTATGGGACGGTGTTAAAAGAGTAAATTTTGGGGGCTACCATGGTTCAAAATAGCCATGAGAATGCCTGTGTTGTAGAAAGTTTATTAAAGTAGATAACAGAAAACTTCTCATACCTAGAGAAGGACGGAGACACCAGGTCTGTGAAGGTCAAAGGTCAGCAGTGAGATGCGATTCAACCAAGTCTATCACAAGTCTTAGTTTGGTTTCATTTTATTATTTATTAATTTGAAAGACAGAGTTACAGAGAGAGAGAGAGAGAGAGAGAGAGAGGTCTTCCATCTGCTGGTTCACTCCCCAAGTGGCTGCAACGGCCAGAGCTGGGCCAATCTAAAGCCAGAAGCCAGGAGTTCTTCTGGGTCTCTCACACGGGTGCAGGGGCCCAAGCACTTGGGTCATCTTCCACTGCTTCCCCAGGCCATTTCAGAGAGCTTGATCTGAAGAGGAGCAGGCAGGACTCGACCCAGTGCCCATGAGGGATGCCAGCACCACAGGAAGAGGCTTATCTTACTATACCACAGCACCAGTCCCTAGGTGTATTGCTTTTAAAGGTTTATTTTATTTCTTTGAAAGGCAGAATCACAGAGAGACAGGAAGTGATGATAGAGAGACAGAGATGAGGTTAGAGAGAGAGATGGGGGGAAGAGACAGAGAGAGAGATATCTTCCATTTACTGATTCACTCCCCAAATGACCCCAACATCAGGAACTGGGCCAGACCAAAGCCAGGAGCCTAGAACTCCGTCTGGGTCTCCCACATGGATGGATGGCAGAGGCGCAAGTCCCTGGGTCATCTTCTGCTGTTTTTCCAGGTGCATTAGAAGGGATTGGAAGTGGAGCAGCCAGGGCAAACTAGTGTCCATATGGGATGCCAGCACCACAGGGAGTGGATTAAACCACTGTGCCACAACACTAACTTCTGCAAGTGTATTTCATTATTGCTTTTGCTTCTTTGTTTCTTTTCATTTCTTTACAATGAAAAGTTCAGTTGCTATCAGTTCAGGACAACTTGATATAATAATCAAAATATTTTTGGTAAGCCTAAAGTAACCACAAAGCAAAAATCTATAATGTTAAATAATAAATAATACCATTTTTTCTCAAATTATTCCAAAAAAGAGGGTGAAATTCCCCTAAATTCATTAATAATGAATACCAGATTATACACAAGTAAAAAATGAACTTTTTATTGTTAATAAAATATTGGGAGACAAAAAGTTCAAAAACACAGATAAGAGCATGGGAAATATGGGAGATCTTGTAGGAAGGCTTAACATGAACGTAGCTGAGGCACCAGGAGGAGGGGGAAAGAAAAGTGGTCTGAGGGGCCGGTGTTGTGGTGTAGTGGGTAAAGCCGCTGCCTACAGTGCCAGCATCCCATATGGGCACTGGTTCAAGTCCTGGCTGCTCCACGTCCCATCCAGCTCTCTGCTATGGCCGGGGAAAGCAGATGAAGATGGCCCAAGTCCTTGGGCCCCTACACCGGCGCAGGAGACCCGAGGAAGCTCCTGGGCTCCTGGCTTTGTATTGGCACAGCTCTGGCCACTGTGACCAATTAGGGAGTGAACCAGCAGATGGAAGATCTCCCTTTTTCTCTCTCCCTCTCTGTCTCTTCTTTCTCTGTGCAACTCTGACTTCCAAAATAATAAATCTTTAAAAAAAAAAAAGTGGTCTGAAATTAAAATTGAAGAGAATATTTGAAATAATCAATGTTTTAAGTTGAAATTTTTCAAAATCAATGAAAGGCATCCAATACTGCATTCCATGAGCACTCTGAAGCACAAGCAGGATAAACATAAAAAATCCAACCATATCTGATCGAACAGCTGCAGTGGGCGGACGTGTGGTGCAGAGGTCGGGTTGCAGCCTGTATTGGAGTGCCTGGTTTGAGTCCCAGCTACCCCACTTCCTATCCAGCTTCCTGTTGATGCACATCTTGAGAGGCAGCAGAAGATGGCTCAATCACATGTATCCCTGCTACTCATGTAGGAGCCTTGTATAGAGTTTTTGGCTCCTGGTTTTGGCCTGGCTAGCGTGGGTATCTGGGGAGTGAACCAGCTGATGAAAGAGCTCTCTCCATCTGATCTTTCTTTATGTCTCTCTGACTTTCAAATAAAGGGAAAATAAATAAAGTGATTTTTTTAGAAAAGAGAAAAACTGCTAAAAACCCAAAGACAAGGAGAACATTTGAAAAATAAAGAAAACAGATAACTCTCAAAGGATCAACAGTATAAGGCTAACAGCAAAATTCTCAACAGAAATCATTGAAGACAGAAGACAGTAGAATGAAATATTTCACATGTCAACCTAGAATTCAATAGATGGCAACCTAGAATTTTATACCTAGCAATTATAGCTTTAGATATTAAGATGAAATACAGGCACATTGAAGCAAACAATTCATCAGCAACATACCACACTTAAAGAAACTAGAGTATTCACCAGGCACAGAGACACAAAACTGAAGAATCAGCAGAGAATAAAAAACAGTAATCATCATTATGTGAACGACTCAACTAATGTGCTTTATTAAAATAATAATAATAATAGTAATGATAATATGGAGTGTAAGATATGAATATGAGCTGTAATACTCACAGAATTGAAATACACAGAAGCAGTAAGGAGTAAGTCAAGTTAAAGGTACTAAGGTTTTGCATTGCCTCAGAAGAGACAAAACAATAAGCTTAAAAAGTAGAGGAACCGGCACTGTGGTGAAATGGGCTAAGCCTCCACCTGTAGTGCCAGCATCCCATATGGGCACCAGCTCAAGTCCTGGCTGCTCCTCTTCCAATCCATCTCTTTGCTTATGGCCTGGGAAAGCAGTAGAAGATGGCCCAAGTGCTTGGATTCCTACACCCATGTGGGAGACCAGGATGAAGTTCTTGGCTCCTGGCTTTGGACTGACCCAGCTTCTGCCTTTGCAACCATTTTGGGGGGTGAATCAGTGGATGGAAGACGTCTCTCTCTCTCTCTCTCTGTGTGTCTCTCTCTGTCTGTCTGTAACTCTGCCTCTCAAATAAATAAATAAAATCTTTTTTAAAAAAGTAAAAATTGTATACAATAACTTTTAGTGGAAACAACATTAAAAGTGAAAAGTAGATAAATACCAATCAAATTTCAGGTGAAAATGGGAAAGACAACAAATAATAAATTCCAAAGAAGTCAAGAAAAAATAATGTAAAACAGGCAGAAAATGTAGTAAATATTAAAACAACAAACTCAAATATATCAATAATTACATGATCTGCACACAGCTTACATACATCAATTAGATCATAGAAATTTTCAGGTAAGATTAGAGTAGCCAACATTATCCTGCTTCTAAGATACCATACAAAATTAGAGAAAGTTTGAATGTAAGAAACTTCAAGAGGATTTACCATGCAAACATTAATTCAAATGGAGGTACATTAATATAAAGTAAAATTTGAACGTGAAGCAATTACAGAAATAAAGAGGGCCATTTCATAATAATAAAAGGGTAAATTCATCAGGAAAACATCATTCTAAATTTAGCATGCAGCTTCAAATTTTCAAATGTCATCTCAAAATAAAAAATGGAAAAATGCTTTTTTAAAAAGTAAAAAGATGAAAGAGAAACCCACAATCTGATCAACATTTGTCAGCAATTTAAAGAAAAAGCAGATGAGAAAGCAGCATAGATATAAAATATTTTCACCATAATTAAAAAATTAGATTTAATTGATATCTGTACATTACAACCAACAACTGCAAAATATGCATTTTTTCTGAAGCACACTGAAGATTTACAGTAATTAATTGCATGCTGTTCAGTGAAGCAACTTGCAGCAACTTATTAGGATTGAACTCGGTATTTTCAATAGAAAATTGATGCATATACATAGACATGGGATGAAGTTCAAGTTCACTTACTCTCACACCCTTTGGAAGGTGACCATGTCAGATTTTCCTGACACTTCACAGTCAGAGACTCAGCTGGAATAGCTCTATAGCCAGGGTCGCACTTAAATTTCAACTCAGTTCCAACTTCAAATATTTCCGGACTCCTTGAGGTGTAGGCAGTTTTCTCCCAGGAAGCAAAGGGAAGTTCTGGTAAGTCAATACAACTATCTGATCATGAAGAAAGCACAGAGCAAAGGAAAATTATTACTGGGGTGGACAGAGTATCCCAAGATCCTGAACGGTAAAAAGATGTCATACATCCATTCAGAAGGGACCAGATGGTAAGAACTAAATGGAAATTCTAGGAACATACGTGGCAGCATCATGGCCCAATAAACTAAAGCTAATGCCAAGGCTAAACATGTGCAGTACTAGCGAGGCTGTCACAGTACAGAAAGGGGACAAGTTTCCAGGTGTTGGGCAAACCGTATGGGAGCTTAGCTCTCCTTCTAGTTTACTGCACTTCGGAATGGTCCATCTTAAGGGGAAGACTTAGCATCACTGTCTGAGACAAGGCCAACTGTGAGTGATCTCCTCCCTATCGAGGAATTAAAATGAGAAACATCTCCTTGGGTGACGACACTATCGCCTGGAAGTTCACGGTTTGGCCTCAGATCAAACCCCACTCAAATTTTGCAGCGGAGCCTCAGACTTGTGTGTTGTTCTTTCTATCTGAACTCATGCAGAAGGGCCATGTGGATTGAAGAAGGGTTGCATGAGTGCCACGTTGCATATTTACCTACTTCTACGACTACACATTTGGAATGATACCTAAGTCCTTGTGATGGCAGAAGGGAATACACAAACCACAATATAGCAGTGGTTTCCACTCCTGAGTAAGCATGTGAACTTGGCTGAGAAATGTCTAAAGAGAAGGTTATTTCCATTTTCCAAAGATACTCATAATATGTTGATTTTGTTAGGATAAGAAACTTCACTATTCACTGATGTAAAATGTGCATAACAGATATATAACCATAATTACAAAGTCATTGGCATCACAATTATATAATACATACGAAATCCTTTCAATAACACTAAGAGATTACCAACAAGAAAATCTTCCTTTTAAAAAGAAAACTATGTAATTTATGTGATTGTTGGGATTAAACTGGGATTTTGCCTATAAGCATGCTACACTCACACTCCTGGATAACTGCAGATGCCAAATACTGAAACTCCTCTGTGGTCCATACTCACTGAGTTCACAGGTGGGAACAGAAGGGTGCCACTCATTGTTAGCTTCACAGTGGATTCTGCTGCTGCCTCTGAGGGCATAACCTTTCTTGCATTTAATGACAATGACGTCCTTGTAAGTATGAAGGGATCCAAATCCAGAGACAAAAATTCCATTTGGAATCTGTGGCTGATAACAGAGAATTTCTGTAAAGAAACATACAAAAGATATCTGTGTTATAAAGGAGAAATAACAATAAAAATATGAATGCAGTTGATGGTTGTGGCTCCAAGGAGGTCTGATGCAAGTTTATATCAAGTAGATACAAAAGAAATAATGGACAAGTGAACATCCACTTCACTACACTGATGATGAACTCTTCATTACACTAATGGATGTACTTGTATGTGTATGTGTGTATATATAGATCAAGTAGATACAATAATTTTATGCATATACTTTTGTGTGTGTGTATATACATACACACATACACATACATACACATACACACACATTTCATTTTTTAGGAATTTCAATACAATGAGGTCCCATGTTGGTCATGTGGATGAAGGTCTCCAAACTTCTCATCAATATAATCTAATAATATCTAAACCCTAAAATCTAGATCTCAAAGTTCTCAAATCCTTCTATTATCAGAACTTCATTTGATTGTGTGTCAGTGGTTTGCTAGAGTTGAGTATTAGTTTGTGTTCCCCAAAGATTCCTGTGTTGAAAGCTTGATTCTACAAAGTCTCTTGTTAATGATTAATAGATTAATATTAATGGTTAATGAATTAAATGCAGAGACTTACTCCAGTTACGGTGTCTAAGAGATGAGTCTGGTTGGGGAAGGGTTGTCTTTCAGTCACTGGAGGTGTGCCCTTAAGAGAAGATTGGCTATAAAAGCCGAGCTGAGCCTAGCTTATCTCTTTCCTTCCTGGTTCATGTCATCCTCCTGTAATCGTTCCACCATCCAGTGCTTCATCAGATGCCGGATGGGTGAGGCCACATGATTTTAGACTGTCAACCTCCAAAACCACGAGCTGAAATAGGCCTTCTTCCTTCCTGAGTAGCTTCTCTCATGTAGTTGATACAGTGATGAGAAGGTGACTGAAACAGTGCCAAATGGTAGTGATATGGTGGCCATGAAGAGGCAGCCAGAGCGCTAGAGACCTACAGCCCCACAAGCAGAGAGCAGTCCCTGTCACCCATGGGGTCCCATCAGCCCTGCCCCCGGCTCCCTCTCCCTTCTCTGCAGGTCCGCTTGCCTCCAGCTGAGCGCATCTTTCCTTCTTGGCTGGATGGTTCCAACAGGCACTCACCAGGTACACTTTGCCCCACTTCACATTGTCCTTTTTGGGGCTCCCTTTCACCTCCCATCCAAACCCCTCCAGAGTGACATATGAGGTCCTTCATCATCTGGTCCTTGTCAATCTTTCCAGCTCAGCTCTTGTCTTTTCCACCTCTCAAAGCCCTGTCTCCAGGCTTTTGAACTCTTTGCTATTACGCTCACTCATGTACCTGTGCTGGTATGAGTCAAAGCAACAGACGAGCATGCGCTTTTAAGGCACTTCAATTGCAGGAAAGAAAGGTTCCCTAGACCAGCAAGCTGAGTCATTCCTAATAGTGACATAACCTCTCTTCTGGCTTCCCTAGAGGGGGCAGAGTGAAGAATCCTCTTTGGCTTTCCTTTATGATTAACCTACTGATGTTGGCACAGTTCTGTCTACTCCATAGGCATACTGAGTTGAGATTTTTAGTGTACACCCAGATTTCCAATTCTTCCAGAATAAACAAAAGAAGATGATTACCCAGTTCCTTGGCACTAGGCAGAAACAAGGAGCTAGTTCTGGCCAAAAGGCTCTGATAACAAGGTCAAACAATTTAAGAGTTGGAATTGACCCTCCTTGCTTTCTTCCCCTGCTTAACTAGTTGTGGAGCTTTGGACAGGAGGTGTCAGAAGGTCTAAGTCATTTGGATTGAATATACATGACCATTGCCATAGGAAGTCTCCCAGGCGAGCAGGGGGAGCTTGACAAAAGCTTTTTCTATAAAAAGTCTTTGGGATTTGGGTGTGGATTATTTCCACAGTATAGCCTCCACCATCCTGCTTCGTATAACACGCGATGATATTAGACGGACAAGTGAACATCCTCTTCATTACACTGATGACTTCTCTCCAAATCTTTCCATCCCCCCCCCCCACTAAATATATTTTTCTTTTAAACAAAAGAGAACAAACCGAATTCATGCCTGTGACTTACTTTTGCAGGTAGGAGGGTTTGGGCTCCAAACACCCGTTGTGGTGTTCTCCATTACACAAGAAATGGAAGCCTGGCCCAAGAGCGAGTAGTGGAGATCACAGCTGTAGGTGACCACAGAGCCGTACGTGTACACAGCTTCCATCCCATTGTGCTTCCCATTGCTGATTGTAGGAGGCGCCTCGCACTTGACAACTGCGATGAGTGAGCGCAGAGGAAGAAGCAGGCAAGGCATTGTTACAAATCTAAAACGCACGCTAGGGGCCAGCACTGTGGCATAGCTGGTAAAGCCTCTGCCTGCAGTGCCGGCATCCCATATGGGCGCCGGTTCAAGTCCTGGCTGCTCCACTTCCAATCCAGCTCTTTGCTATGGCCTGGGAAAGCAGTGGAGGATGACCCGAGTTCTTGGGCTCCTACACCCACATGGAAAGACCCAGAGGAAGCTCCTGGCTCCTGGCTTCGGGTTGGCTCAGCTCTGGCCGTTGCAGCCAATTGGGGAGTGAACCAGGGAATGGAAGATCTCTCTCTCTCTCTCTCTCTCTCTCTCTCTCTCACTGCCTCTCCTTCTCTCTCTGTGTAACTCTGACTTTCAAATAAAAATAAAATAAAATAAATAAATAAAATGCATTCTAACCCTAATGCAGGATGTAAGAAACAGTGACATTTTGGCCGGTGCTGCGGCTCACTAGGCTAATCCTCCACCTAGCGGCGCCGGCACACCTGGTTCTAGTCCCGGTCGGGGCGCCGGATTCTGTCCCGGTTGCCCCTCTTCCAGGCCAGCTCTCTGCTGTGGCCCGGGAGTACAGTGGAAGTTGGCCCAAGTGCTTGGGCGCTGCACCCTCTGGGAGACCAGGAGAAGCACCTGGCTCCTGCCTTCGGATCAGCGCAGTGCACTGGCCGCAGTGCGCCGGCCGCAGCGGCCATTGGAGGGTGAACCAACGGCAAAGGAAGACCTTTCTCTCTGTCTCTCTATCTCACTGTCCACTCTGCCTGTCTTTCAAAAAAAAAGTGTGTAGTTATTTTAAAAAAATTCTTTACTTACTTACACATTCTGGGATATGATCACTCCAGCTAACTCCTTTCCCGTGGACTTCACAGCGACTAGTTGCTGAGCCAACTAAGATATATCTGAAGAAGAGAAGTCAAGGTCATCTTACATAGATTGCTGCTAAGATTTCAGATACATGGGCTCCTCATTCATACTGTAAGATGCAAAGTAATGCTCTCACCTTGATTACTATTCAGATCGACTGCAGTTAAATATCATCACATCAAGCAGAATCCTTATCAAAATTCTCTCATTCACTTAAACCACATGACAAAGCTTTCTCTTGGAGTGAGATAGTGCTGTGACCATAGCCAAAGTGGACTTTTTTCCCTCTCTTTTCGTATTCTGCTAAGCAAAAGTAGGCTTTGTGGCTAAATCAGACCTATGTTTAACTCAACAGATAAATAATGCCGGCTGAAGAATCCCAGGGACTAAGTGCAGGGAAGTGGCTAGAATTATGAGGTCTTGGGAAAGGAGGAGGTCTGCAACCTCCAAGCCTGAGCGCCCACTGTAAATGGTCAAGCCTTAGCCCACAGGGCCCACCACCCCAGGGGTTTCACGCTGACCACAGACACTTGCCTGACCACCACCCCCATCGTCCTCCCTCCCTCTCCCAATGCCCCTTTCCTTCTTTCAAAAGTTCTGCTAAATGGTAAATTGGAAAAACCCCTTTGAGACTGGGTTGTGCACTTTTCGCCCAGGATTGTTGGCCTCCTCAATAAGCCTAACTTCCTCACATCAACTCTTGTCTCTGGGAAGTGGTTTCTGTGGGGAGCAGCTCGGACTAGACTGTTACTGGAATTGAGACTTATTCTATGCATCTGCTCTCCCACAATATGGCGCTGGGAGAGAAGTAAACAGCTTCCGCACAGCTGCCTCCAGTTCAACCAATTAACTGTAGGACTTGCTCCTGATTGGAGGAGAGCAGCGTACTCGGCGTGTGGGCAGCCGAGTTGGGATTGGCGGAGGAGGACTATAAAGGAGGAGAGAGACGGCATGCACCAGGAACATCTATGGGGAACATCTAAGGGAACCCGTGCAGCCCCCGAGAGAACCGGCCGGCGGTGTGCCGCTCCCCTGCGGAAGTGGGGAATGCGGCCAGGGGGAACTGCCCTTCCACGGAGGTGGAAGGGATAGTAGCCAACCCGGGAAGAACCAGCAGCAAACCCGGGGAGGGCCGAGCAGACGAAAGAACAGCGCAGGGTCCTGTGTCGTTCCTCCACGAAGAGGGGGAGCGACATAATGGTGCCGTGACTCGGATAGGAAACCTAGCTTGGATAGGAAACCTAGGACGGATAGCAAACTTAGGAGGGAAGAAACGGGAAGAACTAGGGAAAATATCGGAGAGAGAGACTAGCAAACAGCCTAGGGAAAAGCCGGACGAAAAAGGTGCCGGAAGAAGCTATTGAAAGCCTAGGCATAGACTCGGATACGGACTACGGGGGGAAGCTGGGAGAAATCTCTAAGGTCGAAAGCGAAAGTGAAAGCTAGAACAAACAGACTCGGACGCAGACTGTGGGGAGAGGCCAGGAGAAATGAGGGAGGAATATCGTTGGAGGAAAGCTTGGGGAAACATACCGGGTAGAGAAAAATGTTAGGGAAATTGAAGCCGCGGGGGGCAGGCCAAGGCGGAAACGAAAGCCACTTTGGGATTCTCAAGTTAGCCCGGGAATAGGGGGCGAAAAGTTGAAACCAGAAGCTGAGACGTAAGCCAGATTGGGATCCGTCTGATTAGCCCGGGGAGCAAAGGACGGGAAGCCAAATCGTGGGGCGGAGACGTACGCTGGGTTGAATTCGCCAGGCTAGCCCGGGGAACTTGGATTGAATGCTAGTGGTGGAGACGCAAGCTACGCTGTGTTACTCGCGGAAGCCGCCGCGTGCAGAGAGAGCACGGGGCGTGAGTAGATAGGGAACGGGGCTGGCGTAGGCCGTGGTTCAGACGCGAAAGGGTTAAGCGTGGAGACCGCGGAGCGCGGGAAGCCAAGCTGCGCAAAGCCGGGAAGCCGCGCAGATGAGAGACGCGGGCTGAAGCGGCTCGGCGGGAAAGCCGCGGAGAAATAGCCTCGGGCGGAGCCTGCCGGCAGCGCGAGGCGCCGGGAAGCTGCAGGGATAAGAGAAACAGAAGTTTTAGAACTAAAGTGAGAAAAATAGGAATGCTGGAAGATAGAAGTAAAATGGGAGAAATAGGAATGCCCGGAGATAGAGAAATAGAGAGAAATAAGGCCTCCCCTCAACATGCCAATTAGAAGGCTTGGATTCGGTCTGCCCGATTAGTGAGGCGATGAGCACCTGGGCGGCTAGCCGCAGGTCACCGAAGACAGGCACGAATTAACATCAGTAAAGCTTCCCCACAATGCAACAATTAGGAGGCTTGGATTCGGTCTGCCTGATTTAAGGCGGTAAGCACCAGCAAAGCTCGACCAGAGTATGAGCTGCAGGTCACCGAAGATAGGCACGAACCAACACTAATAAGTCTCCCCCACAATAAGGCAATGAGAAGGCTTGGATTCGGTTTGCCTGATAGGTTTTGTAAACACCTGCAGGCAGTTCTAGCAGAGCAGAGTATGCGCTGCAGGGCACCGAACACAGGCACGCATCAGCGCCTAAAAACCTCCTCACAACATGGCGAAGAGAGGACCCGGATTCGGTTTGCCTGATGGATAGGACTTGTAAGAGCCTGTGGCAACTCTAGCAAGTAGAGCAGAGTGTGTGCTGCGGGACACCGAAGACAGGCGCGTATCAACGCCAAAAAAAAAATAAAAAGAAAGGGGGATCTGTGGGGAGCAGCTCGGACTAGACTGTTACTGGAATTGAGACTTATTCTATGCATCTGCTCTCCCACAATATGGCGCTGGGAGAGAAGTAAACAGCTTCCGCACAGCTGCCTCCAGTTCAACCAATTAACTGTAGGACTTGCTCCTGATTGGAGGAGAGCAGCGTACTTGGCGTGTGGGCAGCCGAGTTGGGATTGGCGGAGGAGGACTATAAAGGAGGAGAGAGACGGCATGCACCAGGAACATCTATGGGGAACATCTAAGGGAACCCGTGCAGCCCCCGAGAGAACCGGCCGGCGGTGTGCCGCTCCCCTGCGGAAGTGGGGAATGCGGCCAGGGGGAACTGCCCTTCCACGGAGGTGGAAGGGATAGTAGCCAACCCGGGAAGAACCAGCAGCAAACCCGGGGAGGGCCGAGCAGACGAAAGAACAGCGCAGGGTCCTGTGTTGCTCCTCCACGAAGAGGGGGAGCGACATAATGGTGCCGTGACTCGGATATGAAGCCTAGGCAGGGTTTAGTGTCGTTCCTCCACAAAGAGGGGGAGCGACAGTTTCACTTCCAGCCCATAACCAATAAGGAATACGTGGTAAGATTTGCACCCAAAATCTTTTTTAAAAAAGGTTTATTTATTTATTTGAAAGCAGAGTTACAGAGAAGCGGAGGCAGGGAGAGAGAGAGAGAGAGAGAGGTCTTCCATCTGCTGGTTCACTTCCCAAATGGCCACAACAGCCAGAGTGGGGTCTAACTGAAGCCAGGAACCAGGAGCTTCTTTGGGTCTCCCATGTGGGTGCAGGGGTCCAAGCACTTGGGCCATCTTCCACTGCTTTCCCAGGCCACAGCAGAGAGCTGGATCAAAAGTGGAGCAGCAGGACTTGAACCAGCGCCCATATGGGATGCCGGCACTGCAGGTGCCAGCTTTACCCACCAAGCCACTGCACTGGCCCCTGTGTCCAAAATCTTGAGATTCTGTTTGAATCCTGTACTGTTTTCTTTACAAAATGCAAATCAAGCAGCACATGAAAGGCGCAAGGTTCACCTGAGTTTATTTCATAGTTTCCATGGATAAATGATCGAGATATAGTACTGACACTAATTAATTTGACCTTTGCCCTTCCTCTGGCTTCTAAAACTTGGCTGACTCTTATCAACCATTAAATTCCTTGACATCATTTCCTTGCTCTTGTTTTTAACAAGTCCCAGTCTTGCTTCCAGGACTTTTTGCATTAAAAAAAATAGATCAAGATACCCTAAACATCGGTGTGGAGTTTCTGAACAAAATATCAAACAAAATCCAGAAACACTTTTAAAAAATACATTATAGGGGCCAGCGCCATGGCTTACTTGGTTAATCCTCTGCCTGCGGCACCGGCTCCCATATGGGCACCGGGTTCTAGTCCCGGTTGCTCCTCTTCCAGTCCAGCTCTCTGCTGTGGCCTGGGAGGGCAGTGGAGGATGGGCCAAGTGCTTAGGCCCTGCACCTGCATGGGAGACCAGGAAGAAGCACCTGGCTCCTAGTCATTGTGGCCATTTGGGGTGTGAACCAGCAGATGGAAGGTTCTATCTCTCTCTTGCTCTCCCTCTCTCTCTGTAATTCTTTCAAATAAGTAAATAAATCTTTTTTTAAAAAGACTCAGAAAACTAGGACTAGAAAGCAAAACTGGTAAAAGTAGTGAATTCATCAATGGATGAATAAACAAGCAACACCATGGAACACGGGCTCAACCCGTGCAACCACCGGTGCACCTAAGGACTTGAGTGATGGCACAAGAATCATGCTGAGTGGCAACAGCCAATGTCAAAAGGACACATAGTGTGTGATTCCATGCATGTAACCTGAGATTAGAGATTGGCAGACTAGGCAGGGGGAGGGGTGGCCTTGGCTGTGAGAGCGTCCCATAGGCATCCTGTGGTCCAGCAGCTCTGTAACTTGACTGCAGTGGTAGTCACTGGAATCCAGTGTATGGTAAAATCACCCAAGACTGACCACACACACGTTCACATGAGTGAGTCATGCAATACCAGTGAAACCTTGCTAAGGTCAAGGGATTGTGTCAGTGTCCAACTTCTGGTTCTGATGCCAAACTATAGTCAGGGAAGATGTATGGTTGGGGAGGGGTGGTAAAAAGGGCACATGGAGTCCATGTGCTTCTTGTGGCAATGGTTTCTAAATCTACACTGACTCAAAATAAAAGTGAAAAACATACAGTGGGGTTTATTTTCTCCTCCTCACAGGTCAAAAGTCAAAAGTTTGATAAAATAATCAATCATGCATGGTGGCGAAACAGACATTTGTTTCAATTACAAAACTTCCCCTAGTCCATGCAGAGCAATTTGACAAGTTTTACCAAAATTTTAGAGTATCTTGTCTCTCATCCAACGATCCCGGCTTTGGGACGTCTTTCTTCCAACATATGATGTAATACATATTGAAGCTTACACGTCAGAGCACCGAATGTGTCGACACAAGATCCGAAACACACAAAGGTCTGTCAGTAGAGATCATTAGATAAACTAGGAAGAGCTATGATACCTGCTCTGGAAAGTTATACAGCTGTAAATACACACACGGCGGATGAGCAAACAGTCGGTGCCTAGATATCAAGGATCCGGAGTGCGTATCTTAGACAGTTCAGGCTAATACACACAAAAGTCTGAACTGGCTGACTTGAATAACACAAAGGGGCCTGGAAGCCCAAGGCCAGGTGGCTGCATGGTTGAGTTCCCCTGAGGGCACTCTTGCCTTGTAGATGGATGCCTTTGGCCATGCCCTCACGTGGCACAGAGGGAGAGAGCAAGGAAGCTGTCTTTGGTTTCTTTGGTGAGTCCATAGCAACATTATGAAGTAAAATTCAAAGCAATGTATCAGTCAGGTATCTTCCGCATAACAAATGGGACAAAATATTAATAAAGAAATTTGCGCGCTGGCACCACAGCTCACTAGGCTAATCCTCCACCTTGCGGCGCCGGCACACCAGGTTCTAGTCCCGGTTGGGGTGCCGGATTCTGTCCCAGTTGCCCTTCTTCCAGGCCAGCTCTCTGCTGTGGCCAGGGAGTGCAGTGGAGGATGGCCCAAGTGCTTGGGCCCTGCACCCCATGGGAGACCAGGAGAAGCACCTGGCTCCTGCCATCAGATCAGCATGGTGCACCGGCCGCAGCGCGCTGGCTACAGCGGCCATTGGAGGGTGAACCAACGGCAAAGGAAGACCTTTCTCTCTGTCTCTCTCTCTCCCACTATTTACTCTGCCTGTCAAAAAATAAAATAAAAAATTAATAATAATAAATAAATAAATTTGTGATGAGTGTGGCACTGTGGGTGAAGCTGCTCCACCCTGCAGCGCCTGGGATTGAGCCCTGGCTCCTCAGTTCCCACTCCAGCATCCTACTAACACGCACCCTGAGAGGCAGCCGACGTTGTCCCAACTGCCTGGGTCCCTGCCACCTCTGTGGAGACCCAGGGGCAGATCCTGGCTCCTGGCTCTGACCTGGCCCAGCCCTGTGGGCATTCGGAAGGTGAACCAGCAGATGGAAGATCTCTCTCTCTCTCTCTCTTACTGCTGTTCAAATAAACCAGTAAATAGATCAATAAAACTTGCACTCACTTTTATCTGCATAGGTAAGCACTGAAATGATGACCCAGAAAGTAACAAAAGTCACTTCCTGCCAGAAGACAGATGGGAATGGAATGAATAGGGATGGGGTAGAAGCTGGAAATCTTGATTTTCATTATTGAAAGATATGAATGCATTAACTACTCATAAAAATCAATTCAAAGGAAAAACACTGCTTCTAGATTACCTTGTATACTCACCCTCTTAAACATCTGAATTCTATGATTGAACCAAGGTGAAAATCTGTTTTAACTTCCACTTTCCCATTGATTAATTCTCCTGGGTTTTTGCATTGTTTCTCTAGGAGGAAAAATAAATTGATGATTAGTGATAACAATTATAAGATATGATATTTAAAAATAAAGTCTAGTTAATTAACTCTTGATCCCAGAGATGTTTTTTCAATGCTTATTTCTAATCCCAACATATTTATCTTGAAGGTAAATAAATGGAAACTTGTATCCCATTTTTCTGACATATTTTAAGGAGAAAAATAAGTGCTTAGTTTTATTTGCTCAATTAGACCACTGTTATAATAAGTAATGTGGTTTGTTGACCAGTTGTTTATATATATATAATATATATCTTCATACTTGCTTTTTTTAAAAGATTTATTCATTTGTTTGAAAGTCAGAGTTACACAGAGAAAGAAGGAAAGGCAGAGAGAGAGAGAGAGAGAGAGAGAGAGAGTTCTTCCATTGTCTAATTCACTCCCCAACTGACCACAATGGACAGAGATATGCCAATCTGAAGCCAGGAAGCCAGGAGGCTCCTCCAGGCCTCCCATGCAAGGGCAGGGGCCCAAGCACTTGGGCCATCTTCCGGTGCTTTCCCAGGCCATAGCAGAGAGTTGGATCAGAAGTGGAGCAACAAGGACTAGAACCGGCACCCATACGGGATGCCGGCACTGAAGGCGGTGGCTTTACCTGCTATGCCACAGCGCCAGCCCCTGTATTCACACTTTGAGAAATGTATGCCCTTGGGATCAGGCACACTAACTAAGCCACTTCTTGGGATGGCTGTATCCCATTTTAGAATGCCTAGGTTTGGAACCTGGGTTCAAATCCTGGCTCTACTTCAATCCATCTTTCTGCTAATACGTTCCCTGGAGACAGCAGGCAATGCTCAAGTAGCTGAGTCCCTGCCACCCCATGGGAGAACAGATTGAGTTCCAGACTCCTTGCTTGGGAGGTCTGAGGAAGACATCAGCCAACCAAGGATCTCTCTCACTCTCTGTCTCTCTCCCTCCCTCTCTCACTTCCTTTGACTTTCAAATAAATAAAAATAAGCAAGCAAAAGTTTAAAGATGTATATCCTTGGTCTCAGGCAGACAGAAGAAAAAAGAAAAGATGGTTTCTATGTCCACACTATTAGAAAAATATCTCTCGGTGTGTTCCCAACTGACCCATTCCAAATAGCGCAGATGTTAGTTTTGAAGACTACGTTGATCAAAGTAGTTAAAGAATTTACAAAGTTCCTAGGAGAAGTTTCTAGAGTAAAAAGGTACAGGCAAGAAGAATAAAAGTTGCTACTCACTGGCACAAAAGACATTGTAGTTCCATTCACCGTTAGCATTACAGATAATCCAGGTTGAATTGATTTTCTTGTAGCCAGCATGACAGTTGTATTTCAACGTGGTTCCAGGTTTGAAGCTCAAATCGTAAAGCGGGTTTATTGGGGAAGCAAACGGTATAATGGGTGGAGGATCACAGTCACCTGGATACCAAAGGGCAAGGAGCATCAGAGGTTTCATCGTGGGACACAGCATCTCAATGTTCGGTACACACTGTTTGAGACAGGAGCCATGCTTTTGTATTCTATCTGTGATGGACCACAGCGAGTGATTCCTCATAAATGCTTGTTGATTAGGAATATCAACATTAATAATGAAAAAGGCAAAAAGAGTTCATCCATCCTTCACTGTGTATGCAACAATTTATCGGAAAATAGATGACACACAGCTGAATCTCATCATTCTGTCAGATTGCCCACATCTGCCTATTCAGACACTAGTGTCTTTGTTACGCCATATAAGCCTGCCTCTGGCCTTAGCAGAAATATATTCTGGTTAATAATAACAACACAAGACCAACTGGACCCAGGGATGAGAAGGGCTAATTTCATTTGCATTCTTTTAGACTTATATGATTTTCAATGTAACTATTCTTCAAAAATAAAAATGTTTTTCAAAATCATTGAATTGAAACCCTTGAAAAAGTGAAATCTTACTTCTACTTCCCTGGCAAGAAATACTAACACAAAGTTCTAAGGGCCTTTCCCAGACACCTCGACAGCATGGTGTCTTCTCTACATTCCAAATAACCACACAGCAGGGAATGCTACCCATTGTCAAGCTGATAGATCACATGTGAGCGACTCTGAAAAGTTTGTAAAAATTGAATTAACAAATAAGCTTGTTTTAGTGCAAAAAAAAGAAATGCATGCATATTTTTTTCATAAAATACATTTTCTGGGGCTCCCCTTTTTTCATTCCATGACATGATTGTTTTGAGATGAGATTGTTGGAGAATCTTTGAGGTGAAATTCTAAAAGAGAGTATTAAAAGTGTCTAAAAAAACAGCCTTTTGGACGTTATGACAAATTCCCCTATATTGCATGTGGCCATGCCCACCCCAACAGTGTTAAAGGTGAGTATCTGTTGGATGAGTCTTACAATAAGATGTGTGGCAAACTCAGTTCTATAGTGACACTCTTGCACGTGCCCCCAGTCACTCACCACGAACAGGAGCCAACAGAACGGCAACCAAAGTCATTCGGAACAGAGTTGGATCCAAGACTTTGCACAGTCTAGAGAGAGGCCACGCTGCCTTTCCCCCCTCTCTATGGAGGGCGGACTTCCCAAGGAACACGCGTGGAGCTCTTGGGGAGTGCATCACCTGAGGCCTCTTCAATATTTTCCTGCTGAAAGAATCCAACTTAATAGACAATCACGGAATTACTATTTGTCATAATCTACTAGGAAAAATCACATGGCAACCGTCTTCAAAGGATTACAATCAAGAACTAAAGAACAAACAACACGAGCAAATATTTACAGCCAAATGCAGTTTTACAGTATCTGCCTTAGGAGCATATTCATGAGAGCAGTTAATTCAAGATGGAGAAATGGGAGTGAGTTCTTTAAAGACGGCTTCAATCGGAGATAATGATGTGCACTCTGGAATGTTGGGTACAGGACGTTCTATACTGAGAGTGAAAGCTGAGTACAGACATACCAGTGAGGAAGTAAGGTTATTTCTGGGAAATAGCAGTTGCTACTTCCACTTGTTTAGAAGGTAAGGGACGTGTGTAGGAAGATGTTAGTAAAGACAGGGACCAGGTTAGAATGGGTTTTGGCTGAGTTTCCAGTGACGATATTAGGAGACTGGATTTATAAAATGGAGAGCCACTATTCTGGCGGGGCAGAGTGACTGTGCTTTCAAAGGATCCCTGTGGCAGATGTGCACAGATACACTGAGGGAGGCAGTGAAGAGAGAGCGGGAGGTTCAATCCTACAGATGAGTGCAGCCTCACCTCACTGCTGCTGCCAACGCCACCACTGGAAATCCTTTTGCCCGGAACACTTGCCCCGATGAGGGCACGCCAGCCCATGACCTGTGCCCGAGGCACCGCTGCTGCTGCTTCCACCAGAGTCCCCATGACCACTGGCATCACTGTTGCAGAGCCCTGGGACACGCGCCTGCAGCCCACACCCCCGTGCTGTGCCTACCACTGGAGGGCCATCATGACTGATCCGTGCTTGCCCATGAGAGCCTGAGGTCATAAAACCCCATAGCCCGTGGACATTGTAAAGTATTATTGCTACCTCCATACACACTTGCAGTATAGACCATTGAACACTCACAAACATCACTGGTGTTGCTTCAAGCTGAAGAACTCACAGGGAGGCTACGTTTCTGTGCTTACTCACAAATGAAGCATCCAACCCACACCCTGTAACCTTCCGTAAGAGAAAGTCTTTCCTTGGAAAAACTACTCCATAGAAATAGAAATAGAAAAGATAACTGTTAAGGGGCCGGCACTGTGGCGTAGCAGGTAAAGCCGCCACCTGCAGTGCCAGCATCCCATGTGGGCACCAGTTGGAGTCCTGGCTACTCTGCTTCTGATCCTGTTCTCTGCTATGGCCTGGGAAAGCAGTAGAAGATGGCCCAAGTGCTTGGGCCCCTGCACCTGCATGGGAGGCCTGGAAGAAGCTCCTGGCTCCTGGCTTCAGATCAGCCCAGCTCTGGCAGTTGTGGTCATTTGAGGAGTTAACCAGCAGATGGAAGACCTCTCTCTCTCTCTCTCTCTCTGCCTCTCTGTAACTCTGCCTTTCAAATAAATAAATAAATCTTTTTGAAAAATTTTAAAAAGATAACAGTAAAAGCAGATGCAGAGACATCAACAAAGGGATATAAGAAATACAGGCCGCTTTTCAGATAAATAAATCAACCTTAAAAATAAGAAAGAATAACAGAAAGGCAAGGACTTAGGGTACTACCAAAGCTACTTGATAATGCTCCAGAAACAGATCACAAAGTCAAAGAAATCTAGCTCACTAGGCTAAAGAAATCTAGCTCATTAGGCTAATCTTCCGCCTTGCGGCGCCGGCATACTGGGTTCTAGTCCCGGTCGGGGCGCCGGATTCTGTCCTGGTTGCCCCTCTTCTAGGCTAGCTCTCTGCTGTGGCCCAGGAAGGCAGTGGAGGATGGCCCAAGTGCTTGGGCCCTGCACCCCATGGGAGACCAGGAGAAGCACCTGGCTCCTGCCATCAGATCAGTGCGGTGCGCCAGCCACAGCACGCTGGCCGTGGCAGCCATTGGAGGGTGAACCAATGGCAAAGGAAGACCTTTCTCTCTGTCTCTCTCTCTCACTGTCCGAAAGAAGCCTTAAAACTGAAGAATACAATGAGTCAAGTAAAATATTACAATTAACAGCTTTAACAACCAGACCAAGTGAAAGAATTTCTGTACTTGAAGACATTAGAATAATTAATTCAGAGATTTAAAAAAAGGAAGAAGAATGAAGAAAACATCTAAGACTTACAGGACACCACTAAACAAAGCGGTATTTGAATTATGGGTTTTGCAGGAGAAAAGCAATGGAAAACACTGAAAACCCTGTTTCAGAGCAATGGACGTCCAGAGCCAGGAAACTCGAGGAACCCAGGTAGACTCAACCAAAAAGGGCCTCTCAAGCGTGTTCCATTTAAACTGCCGAAAATCAAATACAAGGAGAGAATTCTGAAAACAGCACAAGATGGGGGCCAGCTCTGTGGTGCAGTAGGTTAATCCTCCTCTTGTGGAGCTGGCATCCCATATGGGTGCTGGTTCTGGTCCCAGCTGCTCCTTTTCCAGTCCAGCTCTCTGCTATGGCCTGGGAAAGCAGTAGAAGATGGCCCAAGTCCTTGGGCCCCTGCACCCATGTGAGAGACCCGGAAGAAGCTCCTTGCTCCTGGCTTTGGATCGACCCAGTTCCGGCTGTTTCGGCCATCTGGGGAGTGAACCAGTGAATGGAAGACCTGTCTGTCTCTACCTCTCTCTCTAACTCTTTCAAATAAATAAAATAAATCTTAAAAAAAATTCTTGAAGAAATCCCATAGCTAGAACTGGAAGGACAATAACCGGCATCCTGAGATAACTGAATAACAAAACTCACTGGCAAAGCAGATCCACAAATGGAAAAGAGAACAGGGCAGGCGTGTGATGCAGTGCTTCGGCCACGACCTCAGACCCCCATATCCCACACCAGAATGCTGATTCAAATCCCAGCTGCTCTACTTCTGCTCCAGCTTCCTGCTAACGCACTGAAAAGCAGCAGGTGCTAGCCCGAGTACTTGGATTCCTGCTCCTCACATGGGAGATCCAGGTGGAGTTTCTGGCACTGGCTCTGGCCCAGACCCTCCTGTTATGAGCCCTTGAGGAGTGAACCAGTAGATGGAAGATATTTCTCTCTGTGTCTCTCTCACACTCTCCCTTTCAAATAAATAGTGAAATATCTGTGGTGGGCACTGTGGCACAGTGAGCTAAGCCATCACCTGGGATGCCCTCATCCCACACTGGAATGCCAGTTTGAACCCCAGTTGCTCTGGTTCTGACCCAATTTCCTGCTAATTTGCATCTTGGAAAGGAATAGATGATGACTCTTGGGCTTGGACCCCCTCCACCAACATGGAAGACCTGAATGGGATTCAGGGTTCCTGGCTGCCACCTGGCCTAGCACTGGTTGTTACGGGCATTTGAGGTGTGAATCAACAGATGGAGGTCTCTCTCTATCTCTATCTCTACCTATCTCTATCTCTATCTCTATCTCCCTTTAATAAAAATAAATTAATAAGGCCGGCGCCGCGGCTCACTAGGCTAATCCTCCACCTTGCTGCGCCGGCACACCGGGTTCTAGTCCCGGTTGGGGCGCGGGATTCTGTCCCGGTTGCCCCTCTTCCAGGCCAGCCCTCTGCTGTGGCCCGGGAAGGCAGTGGAGGATGGCCCAAGTGCTTGGGCCCTGCACCCCATGGGAGACCAGGAGAAGCACCTGGCTCCTGGCTTCTGCTTCGGATCAGCGCAGTGCGCCGGCCACAGCACGCCAGCCGTGGCGGCCATTGGAGGGTGAACCAACGGCAAAGGAAGACCTTTCTCTCTGTCTCTGTCTCACTGTCCACCCTGCCTGTCAATAAATAAATAAATAAACATTAAAGAAGAGGTAACAATCAAACTTTATCACTACATAAAATCATCAAACTACAAAAATAAACCACATGAGAGGTGGAAACAAAGAATAGATAAAAAAAATCAGAAAATAATGAATAAAATTACAAGATTGTCTTATCTCTTGTCATTGTTATGGTCTTACCTATCCATAATAACCTCACATGTAAACAAATGAAAGCATTAAAACAAAAGATACAGATTGGCTGGAGAGTTTTTTTTTCAAAAAAGGTCCCAAAATTAGGTACTTCAAAAAGCTCATGGAAAATGAATTGGCGATATCTATTCATCTCTGAGTGATTTTCTATGTACCTGTATGAAGCCACTTCTAAAATGTCCTAGAAAGATGGAGTTAAATGGTAAGTTTATTTTAGTGAAAAAAAAATTGAAATCTATGCATAGTTCTTTCATAGCATAAATTTCCCATGAGTTTTCTGAAGACTGTTCAGATATAACTGCACAAATTCCTTATAGCAACTGTCAACAAAAGCAGTAATCTACTGGATTCCTAAGCATGGCTCTTTCCATCACAAAAATGAAAATGGAAGCATTACTATAATGTTTCTTCGTTCTGGACATTCTGTAAACAGAGACTTCTTCAAGAAAAAGCCCTTTAAAGTCATTTTTACCCCTAAGAAAAATCCTCACCCTAAATTTAACAAATAAACTTTTTTTTAAACATTTTTATTTATTTTTATTTGACAGCCAGAGTTAGACAGTGAGAGAGACAGAGAGAAAGGTCTTCCTTCCATTGGTTCACCCCTCAAATGGCCGCCACGGCCAGCACGCCGATCCGAAGCCAGGAGCCAGGTGCTTCCTCCTGGTCTCCCATGTGAGTGCAGGGCCCAAGCACTTGGGCCATCCTCCACTGCCTTCTCGGGCCACAGCAGAGAGCTGGCCTGGAAGAAGAGCAACCGGGACTAGAACCCTGTGCCCATATGTGATGCTGGTGCCGCAGGCGGAGGATTAACCAAGTGAGCCATGGCGTTGGCCCCCAACAAAAAACTTAACTTTCAATGAAATATATCATTTCACTTTTCCCCCTAAAATATTAAGTAGATTGAAATGTGTGTACCTTATTATCTATCCTTAATTCTAGCAATCACCAGCCCATGTCCACTTAAGGCAGGTTTCTCACAGTCCCTCTCAAAGCCATCAGTACCCACTTTGGAGCAGGAGGTGGTGGTGTTAGGGAGGAAGTTCATGGTGCCTCTCCCGCTGTAATGCCAGACTTAACTCATCCATTGAGTGAAAACTCACAGCAGGTTCTTAAGGAACTATAGAAACTCTTGAACCATGTCGCAGCTCCAATCCCACCTTCTGCTTCCTGCAGACATGCATGCCTCCCATCCCACATACTGTTTTCATGATCTACCAAGTATCATAGCCTAGTCTAGCCTGTACCAAACATGCTCAGAACACGTATGGGGGCCTACAGTTGGGAAACACGTAATACAAAGTCTGTTTTATAATAAAGTGCTAAATACCTCACCCACACACAGAGATGAGAGTTTTGTAGACATGATGGAGCGTGAAAACTCAAAACACAATATCTGAACAATGCTGGCAGCACAGCACACTGTGGAGATCACTTTGGCCTCATGATTGCGTGGCTGCCTGCACGCTGTACTGAGCTGCCTAGCACCATGGGGGTGGTCCCACGTATCACCAGCCCAGGAGAGGATCAAGGTTCAAAGTACGGTTTCTACTGAGTGCATATCACTTTCATGCTACCCAAAAGTTAAAAAAAAAGTTATAAATTGAAGCATCATAAGGTGGGATCATCTATGTCATAAATAATGCTGCTATGAATATTTATGTAGATTTTTCGTGTTGAGATATGCTTTCCTTTTTTTCTTGGGCAAGGGATGGACTTCCCGGATCATATGGTTAACTCCATGTTTCACATTTTTGGGAACTATCAAGCTCTTTTCCAAAGTGACTGCATCATTTTACCTTCTCACCAACTACTTTCAGGTATAGGAAGTAGACAGGAAAGTCACCAACACTTATATTTCAGAATCAAGTAGAAATAACACCTTATAGCTCTAATCTGCTTTACAGCTTATTTCATTGGTAATTCTATTTCTTCATTTATAGATCAATTTAGCATTTCAAAAAGTGCTAAATACTTTCTATGTCACACAACCCATGTTCTTTCTACCACAAATACAATCATCTTGAAAGAATTTCTGCTGAGTAGACACCAGTATATTTCTCTGCCTCATCATTTGAATCCTGCACATCTCAAAGCAACGAAACCTCAGCCTTTCCCTTAAGATACTCACAATAAACTCAAGAGACTCTGAGTGTCTTGGGGAGAATTTGGTCAACCACTGAAGAAAAGACTCTAGCGTTGCCTTGGGCTGTTTCTCTCGGAATGGAGTATCTCTGATCTCTGAGGGTCCCAGCCCCTTCTAGAACAGAACCTACCATACGGAACATTCTTTCCTTTCAAGCAAACACTCTACTAAAAATCTTTGGAGTTCCAGCAATGTGGCTGGTGTTTGACTGCCCAGGGCAAGATGAGTGTGACTGGATACCGAGCTATTCATTGTTCTGCAAATGACGCAAAAAGCTGCCAGTGTGTAGTTAATCTCCCCCTTCTCCTTAGCCAGGCCTCAAATTGGGTAAGATGTCATACTATTTACTTTCTCCTTTGCCTATCTTTACCAATGAGGGACAACTGGAAAGGTGGTTCTACTGACCAATCCAGAAAGGACACAGTCCTCTCCTCCCTCCAGACGCACAAGTTCTGTTTTCATATTCAGCCGATCACTGACCGTGCATTATGTGGTTAGGCCGTCGATGGTTGTCTGTACTGAACTCGTACAGACCATTTTTTCTTCTTATGATTCCCCATAACAGCTACTTACATAGCATTTACCTTGTTGTAGATATTGTAAATAATCCAGAGATAATTTAAAGTATACAAGAAGATGTGCCTAGGCTTTATGCAAATGGTATGCCACTTTGTTTATGGGACTTGAGTGTCCTTGGTTTTGATCTTCAAAATCAAAGCCCCTTGGAGATCCCAAAGGACAACTGTTATTTCTTGCACCAAGATATAGAGCTAGAGGCTAGGAACACTCAGCATGTGAGTCTGCTCTGTTCTGGGGTCTCAACTTTTTTTGCTGAAAAGTGAAAGCACTACAATTCACCATTCCTGACGCATCAGAGTATGACAAAATGGAAAGAGCTGGCTCTTACAATGGAGGTCCAACAACTGGCGAATAACACCCACATTCAATCCAGTCCTACCAACCAACAGTGACTCAGAAAGACCACACTCTCGGGAGAAAAGACAGTTATCGAACGCAGCCACATATCACTCACACCTGGGTGTCTCTGGAAACAGGTTTTATTTGGAAACCAACACACTAGACTCCCAACATTTGATTGCTGTAAATGATGATAATTTCTAGGTCGGTACTCTGATTTCGGACATAGAGAGATGTTGAAAATGTAGTCTTTGGACATCTTATGTTGTGCAGGAAAAATACCCAATAATGTAGGACATCAGGCAATAAGAATACTCAATACAAATTATATTTGGATACTGAGGATTGTTATTTCCATTCATTCTTTTCATGGAAGCAATAATATTTAACAATTGAATTATAATTACTGAGAATGTCCATTAGTTAACAGGTATGCACAATGTTTACTTACTAATTCCCTGAGACAGGTAGTATAATTTTTTCTGTTTTATCAGAAGTAAAGAGTAAAGGACAGAGTTTAAATAACTACCAATAGTCCTATAGCGCTTAACTGGTACAGCCAGGGCATAAACCTAGGTTTTGGAAATTTTTCTGTGAAAGTTGAATACATGCATTTTTCAGGCAGCTTTTGTTCCAAAATATATATGCAGGAATATTCACAGTTGTGTAAAACTGGGAACTAGATCATCTATATTCTATCCTAATGAAGTGGGTAAATAAATCACAGTCTATTCACAGTATGGAATAATACACAGTAATGAAAATGAGTGGACAACCACAGACAACACAAATGAATCTCACCAGAGAAGCAAAAGAAGTCAGACAGGACGTAATCATACTTCATGACCCCATTTGTAAAAAGAGAGATCTATGCTAAGTTAGAGCAATTAGGGCTCTAGGTTTATTTTGTGATACTACAGATAACAGAAAGGAAGTGATGGCCACAGGTCAGAAGAGCAGTATTATTTGAAAAGAAAGGACAGGGTCTGATAGGAGGAGGTATAAGCAAGTAGGCTCTAGGACGAGTACGACATGCCGAGGACCAGGGTATCTCTGGAGAAAATTAGAGCTGTCTTTTGGAGGAGGACAGAAACAGAACAGTCAGATAAAATCGGAAATACTATAGTATTGCATCATACATGTTCTTTATATGCTGAGTAATAACTTATCTAGAAATACCCTTAGTTTCCAAATACCCTTGAAAGATTTGAGTTCAGAAAGGGATTTGGTTAAATCCAAGCACATGGCTATATCAATTGTAGTCTAAAATCAAATCTGATGTTGGCATTAAAGCTCAATTTTAAACATATATATGGTGATTAGAACATGTCAGTATTATTAAATATTCACTTCTTCAAATATCAGCCATGAAAAGGTGTTGTGACCACCATTGTCAGCACTTATTGCCATGGTCAGACTCCCTCAGGTTTTTGTAACTGAAAAGGGGGACAGTAGTACATTTACTGATGGGATTTCCAATATTTCCTTCTTGTCATAGGAGTGAGAAGCCCAGTCTGCTCCCCTGACCTCATGTCGTGCCCTCACCGTCTCCCTCTCTGGCATCTGTGCCTCCATAGATCCAATCCCGCACACTCCCAGAGGACGGACTCTCGTCTACTAATGTTCTGTTTCTGAGTTCTCCCCAAAGCGAGCACATTAAATGCCCACAAACAGCTTGCACTTTTAGGGTGTACCGCTTTTAAGCATTACATCAGAAATGTAAACATTCCAAGGGAAAAGAATAACTAATTTGAATATAATTTTAAAATCACCTGTATTTGGGGCTGGCCCTGTGGCATAGTGGGTAAAGCTGCCGCCAGCAGTGCCGGCATCCTATATGGGCACTGGTTCGTGTCCCAGCTGCTCCAATTCCAATCCAGCTCTCTGCTATGGCCTGGGAAAGTAATAGAAGATGGCCCAAGTCCTTGGACCCCTGCACCCTCATGGGAGACCCAGAAGAAGCTCCTGGTTCCTGGCTTCAGATTGGCACAGCTCTGACCATTGTAGCCAATTGGGAAGTGAACCAGCAGATAGAAGATCTCTCTCTCTCTCTCTTTCTCTGCCTCTTCTTTTATGTGTAACTCTGACTTTCTAATTAAATAAATAAATATTTTAAGAAAAGATTTATTTATTTTATTTGAAAGGCAGAGGCAGAGAGAGAGAGAGGTCTTCCATTAGCTGGTTGACTCCCTAAATGGCCGCAACAGCCAGAGCTGTGCTGATCCGAAGCCAGGAGCTTCTTTTGGATCTCCCAAACAAGTGCTGGGGCTCAAGGACTTGGGCCATCTTCTACTGATTTCCCAGGCCATAGCAGACAGCTGGATTGGAAGTGGAACAGCTGGGATTCAAATTGTTGCCCATATGGGATGCTGGCAGTGCAGGCAGTGGCTTTACCTGCTATACCACAGGACCAGCCCCACAGCAAATGTTTTGTAGTTAATTCTCTTAAGCTGAACTAAACTTTAGAAACAAGTTAACATTTCATGTAATGTTACTCACTTTTTAAAAAAATATTTATTTATTTGAGAGGTAGAGCTACAGAGACAAAGAGAGACAAAGAGAAAGGTCTTTCATCTGCTGGTTCACTCCCCAAATGACCACAATGGCCGGAGATAGGCTGATCCAAAGCCAGGAGCCAGGAGCTTCTTCCAGATCTCCCACATGGGTGCAGGTGCCCAGGGACTTGAGCCATCCTCCACTATTTTCCCAGCTGGATCAGAAGAGGGGCAGCCAGGACTTGAGCCAGCACCCATATGTTGGCCTACTGCGTGACAGCGCCGGCCTCCACTTCACCCGTTTTTCACTCCTGGTGTAATTATTCACTGCCATTGGTGTATGGTAGGTGAACCTCTGAGGGAACTACACAGATGAACCAGTGATGCCAGAAGGGAAAATGTTTCACTTTACACGAGGAGACAAACACAACTGCTTTGGCTTCTAGGAGTGCGAGCAATCATTTCAGGAAAGACAGTTCATTCAAGGTGACGGTGATGGAAATCCGCTAAGGGATAGAAGAAAACAGAATTCAAAAAGAACGAATAAACAGCAAACTCCTCATCTTGCAAGGTAAAAATTGTAGCTGTGAAGTCAAGTTGCAAGCAGGCGGAAGACCAGAAGATTCTTCTCTGGAGAAATTAGGCAGCAGCTGAGAAGAAATTAATGAACACAATGGGGCTTGCGCTTTGGCGTAGCAGGTTAAAGCCCAGCCTGCAGCACCGGCATCCCATATGGGCCGGTTCGACTCCTGGCTGCTCCACTTCTGATCCATCTCTCTGCTATGGCCTGGGAAAGCATTAGAAGATGGTCCAAGTCCTTGGGCCCCTGTACCCTTGTGGGAGACCCAGAAGAAGCTCCTAGCTCCTGGCTTCGGATCGTTGTGGCCAACTGGGGAGTGAACAAGTGGATGGAAGGCCTCTCTGTCTGCTGGTTCACTCTCAGAGGTCCAAAGCCAGGAGTCTGGAGCTTCTTCTGGATCTCCCACATGGGTACAGGGGCCCAAGCACTTGGGCCATCTTCCACTGCTTTGCCAGGTGCATTAGCAGGAAGCTGGATGGGAAGTGGAGCAGCCCGGTCTCCAACTGTGGCCCATGTGGGATGTTGGCATCGCAGGAGGTGGCTTAACCAGCTGTGCCATAACACCAGCCCTGGTGAGCAAGTATTAACAAAAGTGAGTGAGTGAAATCATAGTGCCAGACAATTACCCACATCTAAACCCAAGAGACAAGTCAACGTCTTCCCCTCCAGTCCCTGAATAAGGAGAACCATGGCAGGAAGTCACTCCCACAAACAATAGGGACGTCTGTTTGCTTTGCTTACAAACACTCACCTCCTGCAAACGTGGGCCAATGCTGAAAATTCCATTTCTTTGCCTATGATACATCTGCTCATCTGCTGGTTAGACCATGGTGACTATCTTTCTGTATATTCTAAGACGTATTTTAAGTTTCTGCTCTGAATGATCCAGACTCCTTTGCTGCCTCACTCAAACTGAAACCAAGCAGGAGGTTGAATAAGTTCTTTGGAAAATTCTGATGTGACGTCCCTAAGCTTTCTAGGCTGCCCCAGATTCCTAAGAGTGTTTTGGCTTTCTAAGATCATATTTTGAGGAAATAATGTAGAGAAGAGGATACACGGCTGGGGAGGGAGACTGCTGTCGATTAGAATGACAGGTGACACGTAAAACCACCCAGCAGGGGCAGCTCTGGGAAAAGCCACCGGTGCCCCGACATACGCCCTTGGCCTACCCTGAGGGTTTTGGTCAGCAGCCCATGGGCACCCCTGACTTTTGGCTCAGGAGCCTGCTCTGCTGGCCCACAGTATGGGTCACCATGCCAAGAAGTAGCAGGAAGGGGACTGGTGAGCAAACCCCCGAGAGGGGCCATTCAGGTGTGAATCCTGCCCACTCTCAGCATGATGGAGCCCCACCGGGGGGGGGAGGGGGACAATAGGAAGCCCTGCCAAGGTCTTCCTTCCCCATCTTGCCGCCCACTCACTCACTGGGTTCTTTGGAACTACTTTCCAAGGAAACTTGTTGCCCACAAACACGTGTCTCAGCAGAGGCCCCACAGTGAACATCCAGCAAGGGAGGACGGTGCAGAGAGTGGGCAGGCCCGTTCCGTGACAGTGGGCTTCTCCAACTATCCAAGTCCCTGCAACACCTGAAGTTCAATCCTATGAGACAGAGACATCAGGGGAAGCGATGACCGAGGCACAGAGCTCCAGAGAGCCCTGGGATATGAAATGACAGGTGTGGGGCTGCTCCTCCTGTGTGGGACTGTGGTTCAAGCCATTGTAACTTAACGGTGAGGGAAACGGTGACGAAGCCACAGGGAAGACGTGGGAAAGCACGGGGGTCGGCGGGAGGGCTTCCCATTTGTCGGTCGTGCAGAACTCCTTCTGCAGGGTGAGAGCAGGAGGGGAGACAGCTGGGGACCCCTGGAGGAGGGCAGCCGTGGAGCTGGGGCTGTGTCGGCATTTCATAGACTCCTGAGACCCGAGGGATGCGCAGGTGTGGGACAGGGGAGGCCAGGCAGCCCAGGACACATGGCGTGAACACAAGTGCAGATCCACGCAGTAAATCAGAATTGTTAATTACAAAACGGGTTTGCTTAGCACCCTCAGCTCACAGAGGACCAAATGATCACAAGACAAAATAGTTTGGGATGTGTAGATTTTTAATAGGGAAAACACATTGTGTGTGCATGTGGTGTGTCCAGAAAAGCAAAAATATGAGCCACAGGAGGATGGATAGTTCCAAAATCACAAGTCACTAGACTTTAACAAGTGTTGACTACCACGAAGATTGGTGCCAGAGAGACCCCGAGCTGCGGGGCTGACCTGACCCCATTGCGCTGAACGCAGCAGGAGGCTTTCGCTCCCCCCTCTACGGGGAAAAGTCACAGCGGTGCCAGCACAGAGGATTTCCTTGCCTTGTCCCTCTGCAGTTCCAGGAGTTCAATCTCCAGAGACAGCTTGTACACCTCCAGGGCCATCTTCACCTCGTATGGGTCTGCGAGACACTGCATGAGTCTCCTGCCTGCCTGCACCTGCTCACAGCCTTCAGGGACCTCCTGAAAGAGACACAGGCGGTGTGGCTGAGTGGTTTCTCGCCACCTCGGGCAGGAGGGTGCACCCTGACGATGGCAGGACCACAGGGTCAGGACCCAGACCACCCTCAGCCTGGAAAACCAGCGATCCTCTAAGTCCCACCAAAGCCTTCCTCAGTGGTCATGGATGTGCTCTGGCCCACTGCCCAGAGGCCTCCATGGGGCAAAGGTGACTTATGCTGAGGTGCACAGACAGAGAGAAGGATCTGTGCAGACCACAGGACCTCAGCGTGGCTCTGGGACTCCCGGGTCTAGGGGACCCTGCTCTCCGTGGGACTCAGCATTTCTTGATCTTGAGTGAAGGCGGGAAAACCTGCCACCCCCCCCTCACCCGAGTGCTTCAAGGCAAACACGGAGAGTGTCTCTGAATGGCTCAGACATGACTCTTGGCAAAGTCAGCGTCCCCATTGCTGGCCGGGACAGAGCTCTGTGGGGAGGCCATCAGGCTGAGGGGTGGACAGCACAGAACTCCCCTGAGTGTGTCACTCACCCACTCACACTTGGGCACCTCTGGCTGCCAGTTTCTGTTCTCTGTGCAGGTAATGCTTGGGGAACCGACCACACCATAGCCAGAGTCACACCGCACAGTGAGATTTTCCTTCTCAACATACTGGGCTTTAACCACAGACAGCTTTCCATTCGTTATTTCTGGTTTTGGACACAGAGCTATAATGGAAACAAATGTTAATCCATCAGTAAATCTAGGAAAAAAAGACACAATACAGGCTGGGATTAGAATGATGCACATGTCAGTGCTACTAATTTTTCTTTTTTTTCACTTTGATAATGATATTGGTTCACATTTTTATTGGACACAGCAACTTCCTAGACTTTATGCTAAACACTACATGATTGTCCGGTTAAAGACCCCTGGTGCCCTACAAAATCAGTGCTGTTCTTCTCAGTTTATCACAAGAAAGTTGAGGTACAGAGAAATTAAGAAACATATCTAAGATGGAAACATTTTTAAATAACATGAAAGGATATTCTTTAAAGGGAATGTGGCTCCAAATTCCCGCTCCCCGTCTCGACTGCTGCATGACTCTGGGTGCGAAATTCTCCCCCTGGCTTATTACTGTCCTGTGAGGAGGGGGCAGAATGGCAGCAAATAAATCCTGGAACTGTTGAGAGCAAAGTGGGGCATGTTGGTCACATACATGTATGTCTGTAAAAACTCCAACCAGATCGGGACTCCTCCTGTCCCTGCTACAGCCTGCGAGTCCCTCGCACATACACACGCCTGCAGCATGGCAGGTGGTGGCCTGCACGAGGCTCCGCCCGAAGCAGCTCTCCCTTCCTGCTGCGTGGCTTTAGCCCAGGAGAGCCTACGTTCATCCCACAGCAGGTTTCCATGAAGATTTGGCCACAGGCCCACACGAACAACATGAGTGTAACAGGTAAGGACTCCAGACTATGTCTGGAAAAACATACAAGAAACTGGGACTGGGAATGGCTTTTCAAAGGCTGAATTTTTTGTGACTGGCAGAAAGGAGATGAAGGATTGCATATGCCCTTTGCCATCTGCAAATACGAATTATTTCAAATGAACCAAGTTCAGTGTGTTCCTCCTGCCTCTGGGAGGGAGGAATGTGCTAGCGCCCGCCCACCGAGTCAGGGCCCATGAGGGGGCGGAGTTACCTTTACACTGAGGCGGTGCCTTGGACCAGATGGAGGAACTGCAGGACAGTTTCCTCTCTCCGACCAGGGTGTAGCCTTCCTCACAGTCGTACTCCACCTCCTGCGTGAAGGACAACACGGAACTCACTGGCGTGTGATATCCGTGGGCAATGGGAGGTGGACTGTCACAACCTTGGTGGCGAGACACAGGAGGAAGCACACGTCAGGTTGTAGAACCTGTCAGGTAGCACGTCTAGAATGTGTGAGGTTTGTCGGCGGCTTCCTCTTGGCCGTCCAGCTCTGCCCGCGGGGTCACGGGGCCAGCCCCAGGCATTCGGCTGCCTCCCCCCCCACCCCCACCCCCGCAGCCCTCAGGATGAGGAACGCGAGGAAGTTGCAGGGTCCAAGCCCTGAGGCTTTCTTGCCATCATTTCACTGAAGGGCAGATTCAGCCCCAGATCACACAGGTCACACATGGAGCACATCTCAGCTTAAATAAGGGGATCTGTGAAGAGCACCAACCACTTGTCACCCTAAAGTATTTAAGACGATGGAGTTTAAAACACGGAACATGCAGAGGGGCTCTCTGCCTGCTTACCAGAGAGAAAGTCACCAAGGTCTTTCTCCCCAGCCCGTTCCCCGGTGGAGCAGAGAGCAGAGACGTGAATTCTCACTTGATTGGCAGCTCCATGATAGTGCCAGCAGGCCCTCTCCCACCCCTCAGCCCCACCCAACCACCCGCCCCCCAGCTGCTCTCTTCTTGGTCTTTTTTTTTTTTTTTAATTTTTTGACAGGCAGAGTGGACAGTGAGAGAGAGAGACAGAGAGAAAGGTCTTCCTTGGCCGTTGGTTCACCCTCCAATGGCCGTCGCGGCCAGCGCGCTGCAGCCAGCGCACCACGCTGATCCGATGGCAGGAGCCAGGTGCTTCTCCTGGTCTCCCATGGGGTGCAGGGCCCAAGCACTTGGGCCATCCTCCACTGCACTCCTGGGCCACAGCAGAGAGCTGGCCTGGAAGAGGGGCAACCGGGACAGAATCCGGTGCCCCGACCGGGACTAGAACCCGGTGTGCCGGCGCTGCAAGGTGGAGGATTAGCCTAGTGAGCCGCGGCGCCGGCCTCTTCTTGGTCTTATCCCTTCTCTGAAACTCTAGTCATTTCAAACAGCACTCAAGTTATGGGTTTTCAAAGAGTTCTTTCCAGAAAGAGTTCCTTTTCTCCCATACGAGGGGCGGGACACGCATTGTTAAATGTGCTTGTTTTTCCCTTATGATGTGGTATTGTTTCAGGAGACCGTCCTTACTATGAACTTATAAGGGTTGATGAAAACATTTTTTTCCTCTGTTACCTATGCGTGTATCGAGAAACTATAAGAATGTTAGATCAATGCATAACCTTTCGGTCATCATTCCCCAATCAAAACTGCCCCCTCCACCAAGAAGATGCTTGGTGTATTTAGAAAAGAGATTATAGGGGGAATAAAAATGGATGTTTTCACACCGGAATAACAAACAAGATGTGGTACAGGGCACCTCTCTGAAAGGGAGAACAGCCAGGGGACACGGGCACTGCACGGGACAGTGAAGTGACACAGGGCCATGGCAATGCTGAAGTCTTAGGCTGATGTACTTTGAGAGCTGGAAGCACTATACTGAAGGGCTTGCTAGAAGCATGGAGAAGGGGCGACTGAAATGCTGCAGCTGGGGATGGCGTTGCGATGCAGAGGATTAAGCCTCCGCCTGCAGTGCTGGCATCCCTCTGAGCTTTACTCCCCGTCCAACTTCCTCCTAATGCACCTAGGAAAGCAGTGGAAGATGCACCCTGCCACCCACGTGGGAGACCTGGGTAGAGTTCCCGGCTCCTGGCTTCAGCCCGGCCAGCCCCAGCCATTGTAGTTATTTGGGGAGTAAACCAGCAGATGGAAGACTGATTCATTAGAGTGAATTGCAAGGTCAGAGAGCCCTGAAGATGAACAGACTACAGTGTTTTTAGGGGTCAAAACAGACAAGCAAGCCGGCGCTGCGGCCCAACAGGCTAATCCTCCACCTAGCGGCGCCGGCACACCGGGTTCTAGTCCCGGTCGGGGCGCCGGATTCTGTCCCGGTTGCCCCTCTTCCAGGCCAGCTCTCTGCTGTGGCCCGGGAAGGCAGTGGAGGATGGCCCAAGTGCTTGGGCCCTGCACCCCATGGGAGACCAGGAGAAGCACCTGGCTCCTGCCATCGGATCAGCGCGGTGTGCTGGCCCTAGCGTGCTGGCTGCGGCGGCCATTGGAGAGTGAACCAACGGTAAGGGAAGACCTTTCTCTCTGTCTCTCTCTCTCTCACTGTCCACTCTGCCTGTCAAACAAACAAACAAACAGAGAAGCAGGCCGGCGCCGCGACTCAATAGGCTAATCCTCAGCTTGCGGTGCCGGCACACCGGGTTCTACGCCGGATTCTGTCCCGGTTGCCCCTCTTCCAGGCCAGCTCTCTGCTGCGGCCAAGGAGTGCAGTGGAGGATGGCCCAAGTGCTTGGGCCCTGCACCCACATGGGAGACCAGGAGAAGCACCTGGCTCCTGGCTTCAGATCAGCGCAGCGCGCCGGCTGCAGCAGCCATTGGAGGGTGAACCAACAGTAAAGGAAGACCTTTCTCTCTGTCTCTCTCTCACTGTCTACTCTGCCTGCCAAAAAAACAAAAAACAAAAAACAAACCAACAAAAACAAACAAACAAACAAACAGACAAGCAACCAACAAGAGTCCTACTCAGTTTGTGTAATCAAAAAGGTGAAGGATGTTGATCAAAGGACTCCCGGCACTGACCCAATAAAAAGTCACAGTCCCTCGCTCAGTTTCTAGACCTTGATCAATTCTCAGGCCAGACAGTCACTGACTGACGAGGAAACCATGTCCCAAGAATGGAGATACTACAGATTTTAGGAAGTGTTCACAGTGACCAATCCCCCGGGCTTCCAGAGGACTTGGGTTTACTTACAATAAGTAACAGCTCACTGGCTAAAAAATACACAGTAATCCGGAGACTGTTAGACAGAGGCCTTGAGTTGACCTTGACAGCTGGAAGCACTGTGGCTCTCCCCACAGACCACCTCTGCTCATTTCTATCATCCTTGAAAGTGTATTAAGAACAGATAAAATCCAGACCCTGGCGTGTGTGTGTGACAAGAACTACTGAATACAAGAAGGCCTAGTGGAAGTGATTGGCAGTGCCTATCTGCTCCACCAACTCCCCAAGGCAAAAGAAGCAAATTTAGAAAAGGAAAAACAAAACAAAACAAAACAAAAATATATTTTGTGGAGTTTGAGGGGAAATCAGTTCCCCTCTTGAAGAGCTAGGCCCATGGGAGTCGTCATCTCCATCATCCGTCCGTTGCACTCCCCAGTGAAGGGTTCTGGAGAATTCCAAGTGTATTTGCATTTTAGCCCTTACTGCAGCCACCTCACCAGATGTGGTTCGATTGCTGGAGCAGATTAATGCGGCTTCAGGTAAGTGAGGTCACGGATTCAGCAAACGTCTTAGCGTCCAGCCGTATTAGATAAAGGGGATCGGGGACAGCTTGCACACACGTTGAAAGGTCGCGAGCATCCATTTTGCCCAGAGCAATGGAAAACACTCCTGCCCCTGTCATGATGCAGCCTGAAGCTACACGGATCATCTGGATAGCCACAGAACATCACAGTGATATACTAAAGCAAGGACATCATGCTAATTCTACCGATGGGCAAGGTAGCTAAGGTGACCATACTCTAGACTATAGAAGACAAATTCTCAGGAGTTTGCCACAGCAATAAAATGTTTGGAGGTCCAGGATCTAGGGGTCACTAGTCTAGCCCATTCAAACTAAAGTCAACATGCCGGCGCTGTGGCATAGTAGGTTAAGCCTCAGCCTGCAGCACCGGTATCTCACGTGCAAACTGGTTCAAGTCCCAGCTGCTCCATTTCTGATCCAGCTCCCTGCTGGAGGCCTGGGAAAGCAATGGAAGCCACCCTCTGTCATTGGCTTCACTGGTGCAGACCCAAGAAGAAGAAGAGCAAAGTGACCATGATGGGCCTAAAAGCAGGGACTCCACTCACCCAACTTAATTGTCCTAGACTTCCAACCCGCCAACAACAATGCTGTACCACCTATTGCCACTTGGTAGCAAACAGACTATGCTGGACTCCTTCCACCCTAGTGCTTGGGCGACTGCACCCATGTGGGAGACCCAAAAGAAGCTCCTGGCTCCAAGCTTTGGTTCAGCCCAGCTCCAGCCATTGCAGCCATATAGGGAGTGAACCAGTGGATAGAGGACCCCTCCACCTCTGTCTGTAATTCTGCCTCTCAAATAAATAAAAAAAATCTTTTAAAAAAGCAAATAAATCTTTTTTAAAAAATTCAAGTCAAAAGACTGTAAAGTGCTCACTCCACCGGAAAGAAGGAAGCACAGCACCTAGAAGGCCCTCGTGGATCCTAAAGGAGACACACTCCATGGCTGGCAGCGCTGTTCTCGCCCGTGTGTAGGGGAGGGACACAAAAGAGTGCCAGGTTTGGAGTGGAGCACAAACTAAGAAAGGACTGTGCAGCAGGTCTAGTCTGCAAGGAACTCATCCCTTCGCTTGAGCCTTAGACCTCTGCAGAATCTCATAATATTTTGCAGGTGATTGTAATAGGAAAAGACGCACCACCAATGGGACAACCACAGCACACACCCTTGAGGTTTTGAAGCATGGATGAGCACTGCGACAGAGAATCATATGATTTTTGAAATATAACTCCTGGCATGTCACTTGAACTTGAAAAAGACAAAACTCCTGACACTGGGTCATCAGGTGACCCTGTAGCCAGAATCATTTGTCATAAGCTTGGTCTGTCAGACCCATCAAATTTAAGGTCAGTGGGGGAACAATCAATTTTAAGATGGAAGTGGGGCCTCTTGGACTGCACAGGAGTAAAACCAGATGGCGCAGCCAAGCTACACAGGCAGGAAGTCCACCCCATGTTTGTGCCCAGCCACTGCTGCCTGGGAGCCTCTCCCTTAGCTCCCACCTGGGGCTCACGGGTTATCCTTTATAGCCGACTGCCAGAACAGGGAGAAGCCTGAGCTTGGGTCCTACAGGAATGTTTCTGGTCTGTGTACAAGATCAAACAGGTGTAAGCTGCATTACAGCCAACCAGGGGTGGTCTTGAAAGACAGTAGTAGAGAGAAATCTTCCCGATAGGCAGAGCGGTGGGTGGCACAGCTGAAAAGAAGTGGGCTACAGAGAGATCACATTAGGATTCATGGCATGGAGTGGATGGATTGTGCAGTCAGGGTCCTGTAAGGACAAAGACTGGAAGATTGGGCTCAACGGGAATGAGGGTAGAAGCAGGTAAGCGGCACACGGGAGTGGGCAGGAAGCCTGGAGATTTTTATTTGGTACGTTAATATGTTGACACCAGAGCATCCCCAATAGAAGGAGCGTCAATCAAGTGAGCAGAGTGACAAGTATTCGGTGCGGTAGTTAAGACACTGTTGGGACACCCACTTCCCAAATCCGAGTCTTCGTTCTGCTTTGATTCCAGCTTCCTGCTGATGCACACCCTGGGAGGCAGAAGGTGATGGCTCAAGTACTTGGGTCCCTGCCACCCATATGGGAGACCCAGATTGAGCTCCTGGATCTTGACTTTGGCCTGGTCCACCCCTGGTTATTGTGGGCACTTGAGGAGTGTATCAGTGGATGGGCAGCCTCTCTGTCTCTCTGCCTTTTGGATATTAAAAATAGAACAAAAACCAAGCAGGAAAAAAAAGTCAGCTAGTTGAAGTCAGCCACCCTCTGTCATTGGCTTCACTGGTGCAGACCCAAGAGGAAGAAGAGCAAAGTGGCCATGATGGGCCTAAAAGCAGGGACTCCAGTCACCCAACTTAATTGCCTCTGGACTTCCAACCTGCCAACAACAATGCTGTACCACCTGTTGCCACTTGGTAGCAAACAGACTATGCTGGACTCCTTCCACCCTAGAAAGAATAGCAATTTATTTGGACAGAAATAGACAAATATTAGAGGACTAGGCTTGCCTTTCCTGCCTGCAGGACCCGAGTCAGTATTTCTAACTGACAGGTTACAGAGAGTCTGAGCAACTGGTAACTGAAGGAATTAAGGGCAGGGCACCCTAAAATACACCGAGTCGTGGTGTTGCTTACTTGTGAGCTGAAGGCACGTGAGACGCTGTAGCTGCAGAACGAGCTGAGCAGCTGGCCCTTTCCGACGTGGAGTAAGTCATGGAACTTCCTTTGAGAAAGACACCTCCCCTATACCAGTGCCCGAAGATGAGCTTTGGGCCGGAGGCTGGGGCTGACACTTGCTCCAGTAACCTTATCTTCCACTGGCTTTACACCTGCCACATAATCCAGCACCTTCTCTAGCGTTAAATGCCCCTTCTCTGGGTGATGAGGTTCCTTTGTATGCTCATTTCCTCATGAATTTGTCTAAAAGGTATAAAAGTTTTCTGCTTTCAGCATTTTGGGGGGTTTTCACTTTCTTTTGCATATTCTCATATGCATGTAAAACTTCATAAAATTTGTATGTTTTTCCCCATTAACTGTGTCAGAAACCACCTGGGGAAAAAAAGCATGGCATTGGGGCAATGGCCATAGAATCCGCCATCCATGTCACACACCGCACCGCCCAGAACCTGACACCTGTTAGATGTGGGAATGCTGTGTTAAGGCGCCCATGAAGTGCCAGATGAGAGGCAACAGTTTACAAAGCTGGGCACTGTCTTACGAATTTCCCTCAAAGATCAAGCTTGATGTAGCTCTGAGTCTCCAGTATAATAAATGGATCCAGAAACCAAGTCATTTTTTCCAAATGACTCACTCGGAAAATTTGTGCTTCCCTTCCCCAAAACTCAGATCTGCAGGTCTAAAACTGAAGTTGGCAAAGTGGAGACCTTTCTACCATTGGAAAGAGGATTTTTTTTTTGACAGGCAGAGTGGACAGTGAGAGAGAGAGACAGAGAGAAAGGTCTTCCTTTACCGTTGGTTCACCCTCCAGTGGCCGCTGTTTCTGGCACACCGCACTGATCCGAAGGCAGGAGCCAGGTGCTTCTCCTGGTCTCCCATGGGGTGCAGGGCCCAAGCACTTGGGCCATCCTCCACTGCCTTCCCGGGCGAGAGCTGGCCTGGAAGAGGGGCAACCGGGACAGAATCCGGTGCCCCGACCAGGACTAGAACCCGGTGTGCAGGCACCACAAGGTGGAGGATTAGCCTATTGAGCTGCGGCACCAGCCGAGGATTTTTCTTATTGACTTTATAAGCTGAAGCTAACGCCTGGCCACTCTGGGCTCTTTTGGCGTTGGAAACAAGAGGAGAAATTACTATGCTGGCAGAGTAACCTCTCCTGAGCATCGAGAGATAAGGCTGTCAACCGCAGAGTGAGCAGGGAGGGCTGCGTCCAGCACCCCGATGCCTTGGGGACAGGCAGCAGAAGGCCTTTCCCATCAGGTAACTCCCAGGAGCGCTTACAGTCAGTGTAAGTGACTATCAGAGGAGGTACAAGCAAATTCAGAAAAAGCCAATCAATCACTTTGGGCGAGACTTGTTCTGCAGAGAATGACACAAGAACATGAACTAAGAGGAGAACGGAGAATAAACGCAAAGAAACAAAGTCAGCTATGGAAAATTCCAGCGTGTCCTTCAGAGGTGGTCTATTTGCACTGATTCAGCAAAGAGGAGACCAGAAAGACCCAGAGAATGGATATACAGAATGGGGAGGGAAAAAAGAGAGCGCTGGAGCCACACCAAGACTCACGCAGGAAATAGAAGCTCTTGTATCGCATTTTAACCCTTCTCTTAATAATCCCCATCATGCTGTTAAGATAATTCTAGAAAGTCTTACTGGGACCACACAATGGTGTGTGGGGACTCCATGTGCCGTCTGCCCGGCAAGTGACTGGTGGCCTTTGCTTCTGATAACATGAATAGACAACTATGTCTCCAAAGAAATAGGTGCAATTGTTGGCCCGAGGGTTTCTGCTATGCTCCGTGATTGCACCATTGTCCAGCTGCGGGGGTGGGCAACAAATTGCTGAAAAACAGAAAGCGAGGCCAGTAGTCAGAAAATCACTGTGTGCAGGCTGCTACAGCTAACAGTGGCATTGCTACTTTTTGATGATCTCACCGCCAAGGAGAGCTTGGGGAATCAAAGGAAGAGATAAGATGCGGGAGCCCGCCCTCCCTGTCCCTGATTGGTGAGGAATCAGCTATCCCCTCCCCCAACTAAGCCTTGTCATTAGGCGCCTCCAAAACAAGAAATAAGAATGAACTTAAATAAAAATTTTCAAAATTATTCAACATCAATGACAAATAATATCCTTTTACTTAGGGCTGCATTAGGTGCGCATCATTCTTAGGCTCGAGTGACGTATTTCTGCAGCCACAAGAAGACGAACCTTCTCAACCGAGTATACTCATCTGACAATGTACAGGAATAAATTGATGTTTGTGCTTATGGCTGTCATATTTCTTCTTTGATGCAAACTTTAAGAGAGAAATAGCAGTTTGGATTCTTTGATTTTTTTCTTGTTTTTAGGAGTTTAGGGTCCAAAGAAGGCACAGAGATGATGGTGAAGGCAGAAAAGATGTCTAGAGGGGAAATAAGGTTGCAGCCCACCTGGACAGCGAGCGGGGCTCTGAAGGGAGTGCAGCTGGCCACAGCCCCTTTTGAAGCTATTTCTCAGGGGAAGACCTGTGGATGTGCAGAATGCCACATGGCCCGTGATAAGTGGGCTTCAGCATGCAGAAAGCCGCACTGACCCTTGTAACTGAAGCTCCTGATTTGCACTCTATGAGGTTGCGTCAGTTTGTATGTCCCAGGAGAGGCGTTGGTGAAGGTTGGTGCCAGCTGGTGGAACACCCAGCACAGAAATGTCATCCAGGTCTAGGTTACCTACCTGCACCCAATTCTATCAGGTTGGAAATGAACAATTTGTGACCCAACAGCCTAGCAGATTCTAACTTTTTAATATTTTATTATAATAAGAGTTGATAAAGTGGGGGCCAGCGTTGTGGAATAGTGGGTATAGTTGCCACCTGCAATGCTGGCATCCCATATGGGCTGGTTTAAGACCCGGCTGCTCCACTTTTGATCCAGCTCCCTGCTGGTGCACCTGGGAGGGCAATGGGGGGTCCAGATTCTTGGGCCCCTGCACCCACAAGAGAGACCTAGAGGAGGCTGACAGAGAGATGTATTGTTTCATTCATTGGTAGAAATACTTTAAGACAGAAACTAATATTGCCTGATGTCAGATAAAACATAGAACAGAATAAAATGCTCTATTCTCCATATAAAAAGCTGGACAGAGCACTGTAATACGGTTTTGTAGGCATACTCAAATTCTTTCAGTGCTCATTTCTTCATGAGCTATAATGAAAACGCTCAGGGCCAGCCTTGTGGTGTAGTGGGTTAAGCTGCTGCCTGCAAAGCTAGCATCCCATATGGGTGCAGTTCATGTCTTGGCTGCTCCACTTCCCATTCAGCCCCCTGCTAATGGCCTGGGAAAAGCAGCTGAAGATGGTCCAAGTGCTTAGGCCCCTGCACTCATGTGGGAGACCCAGAAGAAGCTCCTGGCTCATGGCTTTGACCATGGCTTTGACCCCAGGCATTGCAGTCATTTGGAGAGTGAACCAGCAGATGAATGATCTCTCTGTCTCTCCCTCTCTCACTGTCACTCTGCAACAGCAGTAAGTTCTGATAAATATATTTATATATATATATATTCGTTTTATTAAAACTTCTTATTCTACTTCCCGAAAATGAGCCCAATACTAACAATTAAACTTTAAGTCTTAATATTAAACAAGTGATACCCTGATAGGTTGATCTAAGCTACCACTTTTCGTGAGTTGTGTATTTCACATATATTTCAGATTCTGACCTGCAGCATAAAATTGCCTGAGTTTTATAGCATAAAATTCTCAGCATTTTCTCCTCTAAAATGGCAAGGTTCTGATGGATGGGTGGAAGAAAGTGTTCACTCCTTTGCCTGTCAATTTCACTGAGGCCCATAAAATAGCACCCCCATGCCCTAAAGCCCCTCCCTCATTCCCACAAACAGAAAAGGAGGTGCCGTTCCTACCAGTGGAACCGAAGGAAATTTCTTTTCTATCCCCTGAGGGAAGAATCCTGGGTCAGGAGTCAGGACCTGTCCTCCGGGGCTAGGTCTGGAGACGCAGCTCTGTCAGCCCGCCAGCCCATGGCTCAGGGGGCGTGAGACAAACCCACCCAGCAGCTGCTTGTGGCAATGAGGGTTCCATAGCCTTTCCTTCGGTCAGGTACCCGGGAGCCTCCCCTGGGGAGGTGAGGCGGACTCCCACAGTAACTGAGCTGTTTTCTTCACTCCGTTCTACCAGCAATGACGCTAATACTCAGTCTGCGTAACGTCTGACTATTTCTCCCTTGATTCTGAACTGGGATGAGGATGGTTCAATTTCTTGGCACCTCAAACTCTAAGATCTTTATGATCCTTTCTTGCAATAATAGTTCACCATCCTGTCAAATTAATATATTTTAAATTCATCTGGAGGAATACAATTATATTCACCAAGGTGGAAAATCCTAGCACCAGCCACACATTTAACAAACAAAAATATCTTAAAAACAGTAACTCACCTTCACACCCTGCGAATGGGCTCCATCTCAAATCTTCCTGACAAGTCACAATTATAGGCTCATCTGCAACAGGTCTGTAGCCAGGACGACACTTGTACCTTAACTCTGTTCCAACAGAATACACGCCCTCTTTTCTTGACCACTGATAGCCTTGCTGGGAAGCATGTGGAACATTCGGTAAGCCAAGACAGCTATCTGCTCATGAAGGAGACAGGGGAAAAGGACAAATCACCAGGGCTGTCCCAGCAGTGAACTTGACCCATCAAAGGGTGGCGTGTGTTCGTCAGCCGGGAGCTAATCTGCAGCAGCTGCCAGACAGATCAGCCACAGGAGAAACCAGTCACCTAAATGTGCACGGGACCAGAGATGCTGCCAAGTGGTTTCTGTGTGTTGTGCCAACTATTCATGATACTAACTCTCCTTCCTCCTCACTATAGGTCGGGGAGTTTAGTTTCTGAATTGAAGCATTAGGCTTGCTAGGTAAACATGGCAGGAAAACAGTCACAGACCAACAAATCTGTGTTTCCTGACTACTCGGGGAAAACCAACAGTATCCAAACAACACCAGGAACTTCATTAGTGAAGGGGTTGGCAAGAAAGAGCCAAGCTCTAAGCATTTGTCTTAACCTGGGCTTTGGGTCCTGTTCTCTGTCTCTTTCTTGGTGCTGCCGATCTACGTGGTATAGAAACAGAACACAAACATCTACCCAGCTGGATGTGTACAATATTGTGTCTTCAAACATTTAAGATAGTGTACAGGGCAATTTGCTTTTTTAAACACTTTTACTGAAATTCAATGATTTTTAGTGTAATCACAAAATTATTCAATCATCACCCTAACTGCAGGGTAATTTTACCACTCCATATTTGTTAACAGTCACTCCCTAACCCTCTCCACCTCCTGCCTAGGTCCTGACAATCACTAATCTACTTTCCTTTCCTTATTCTTTTTAAAAAATGGAATCATACAATGCATTTCTTTTTGTGGCTGATTTCTTTTTCAGAGGATGTTTTCAAGGTTGCAGCATGTATCAATACTTCACTTATTTTTATTGCTAAATTATATTCTGTCATGTGGAATACCACGATTTTAAAATTTATCCATTACTCAGTTGATGCATATTTGAGTTGTTAGGCTTCTGTGAATCACACTGCTATGAATCTGTATTTCTCTTGGGTAGATGCCTAGGAGGGTAATTGCTGGGTTGTATAGTAACCCTATGCTTCAGCTTTGGAGGCACTGTCAAAACCCTTTCCCAAAATGGCTCAAATCCATTGAGTTCCTGTGAATTCTCCATTTTACTCATTGTACTTTTCAACTCCAGGACATCTATTTGATTTTTAAATCTTTTCTATCTTGATTGATATTTTCTTTTTAATGAGACATTGCCATAATACCTTCCTTTAACTCTTTTAATATTGTCTCTTTAGTTCTTTGAACACATTTATGATAGCTGTTTTGACCTTCTTTGAGCTTCTTTTCTGCTAAGTCCAACCTCTGGGCTCCCTCAAAGGCAGGTTCTATGTCAGTTTTTTCCTATTTTTATGGGTTACTCTCTCCTGCTTGTGTGTATATCTGACTTCTTTTTTGAAAACTAAACTTATTAGATAATATAACAACTTTGGATCTGATTCTCCCTCACATCCTTCAGGGCCTATTGTGTTTTTCTTGTTTGGTTGGTTAGTTCTTTGGTGACTTGACTGGACTTATTCAGCTAAGTCTGTTTACCTCGAAGTTCGCAACATTAGTGACGTGTATCAGAAGACACAGCCTTGGGCATGTACAAAATCTTCCTAACCATGCAGTGTGACTGTGGTTTTCTCTTTGTCTCTTTCTCATTAAGCTTTTGGCTGATCTGCCTCTATTGGTATTACATACCGCTGTTAGCCTCCAGTAATTGTGATCTGATTGCTCTATTGGCTTTGTACAACTCCCTGGGGCATAAATTGCTCCACAGTATGATCCAATTAAAGTCAAGTCCCTTGGCAGAGGCAGTTGACAGTTTAAAGAATGTTCCAATCTCCCCTGGAATAACGTCTATACTATAGATAGGGGCTGGGGAGAATAAGGCAACTCATTCTTCACCAAATGACCCATCATGGTGTAGGAGCCATGAAGAAGGGAAGGGGTAGAGCAGCAAGTGGTTCTGCACCCCCGCTGTCCCCACTTCCAAATCTACAGGGAGAATGAGGATTGCTGATTTTCACCAGCTGTCAAAGCTGCCTTCCATTCTAGGAAGATGGGGAAGATGGGAGATGCTAAGCTCACAGGGTAAGCTCTCCTGTACCATAGAGATATGCAATAAAGAGAGACTGAATTCTTCATCAGCTGCTCCAACTGAATCCTCTCTATATAAAGGGAGTTGGAATGGACGAACAGGCACTGGTGTCTGGCTCTTGGGACCTGTGTAATACGAGCCATCCACAGCATGGAACTTTGGAGAATGCTATCACATGGGCTGACTGCCAAATTTATCTTTTCTACCTCAGGGAGCTGGAGCAGCTGGGAACTACTAATTGTGAACTCACAAAACAGGTCCCCTACAAGTTAGCACCATTGGGGGTGGTGTGCAGTCCTTAGTTCCAACGCAGCGGCCTCCCACTGTTCATGTCAAGTCTCCATAGCCTTGCTGAACAGAAGCTTCTCAACTTGCTGCAAGCCCTTTGATCCGTCTCTGGAGACCTTGACGGTTTTCTTTGCTAATTTTGCCCAGATTCATAGATGCCTCTCCAGGAGGGAGGTTTCCCCCAAGCTCCTCACATCACTGTTCCAGAGGTTCCCAGGACAAGGTTCTCAACATCTCATGAGGGCAAAAATAAGAGCACAAGGCCTCAGTGTCTCCCTCTCCTTACAGCTGGTGGATCTTGGGCAAGTCATTTACTCTCAGAGAAGTTTCCTTGTCTGTAAAAGGGGAGCACTAATAGTACCCACAGTTGTTGGTGGGATTCATTAACTTAACTCTTATTGTGCACCAAACCTAGTCCCAAGTTATTATTATTGTTTTATCACTGTTTTAATGATCTGCATGAGTTTATAACTTCAGAGCACCAGGATTGTATGTTTCTGACATCGTCTATATAATACTAGTAAGTCAGAAAACAGACACTTTCCCTAGAATACTTACCATTTCTTTCCAAATAATTATCCTGATACTATGATTTGTTAGAAAAGACAATTTTCTATCAACTGCAGGAAATTGCTGGAATAAATTAATGAATCCAGCACAATGGTAATGTCTTAGAGCTGGAGCACAACCCGCACAGTCGTGCGTGGCAGCCTTCTGTGATGTCATGTGACCTTGCAGAGTGTACTCAACAAGAAAAAATAAAGTTATCAACCTCAATTTCCGTTTTGCCTGTGATTCACGCGAGGATGCCTACACCAGCATTTCCGGGTACCCCTAGATGCGAACATTGAACTCTCTTCCCGGTCCGTACTCACTGAGCTCGCAAACAGGAGGAGAAGGATTCCACTTGCTGTCAAGCTCACAGTGGATTAAACTGCTGCCTCTGAGGACGAAGCCATCGATGCAGGTATACATAATAGAATCTTTGTAGTTATAGATGGGTCCAAACCCAGAGATTATCTTCCCATGTGGAACATTTGGCGGAGAACAGATGATTTCTAAAGGTTCACGAGAAAAGACAAGTGGATTTGGAAAAGGAAACAGAAATCAGGATATTATTGCTGCTGTTAATCTAGTTACAAGCAGAATACACACACCTGACATGAGTACATATCAAGTAGATAGAAGGGAAATAGTTTAATGTATTATATAATATATAATTTATATTTATGTAGAGTATATATTCTAATATATAATTTCAGCTTTTAAATGCTTCTGTAAAATGACTTTTAAAAGCCTCAGTAAATCATGCATTCTTCTATGAAATGATTGCAAACAATCCCTTCAACTTACCAAAAAAAAAAAAATTCTAGTCCTATATAACCCAGGAGAAACACATATCCCCTAGGCCTACAAAGTTCTCTGATAAGGGCCTAATTTCCTGGATGATCTTGTTTGTGGGTCAGAGGCCAACGGTGACAATACAGTGGTCATGAAGAGGCAGCGAGACCAGCAGAGACCTGTGGCCCCACTAGCAGAGAACAAACCACCCCCAACCTCGCCCCACATCCAGTCATTCGGATCCTGGAAATCCTGTGTGTTATTTCTCTAGAAGGGAGTGGGAAATAATAGCCAACTACCGACCCTTCCAGCACATGGACAAAGAGGTTGGAGGGGGGGATCCAACTACCACCCCTCCCTGGACTGTGAACAGAGGTGGGGGATCCAATTCCCAACCCCTTCTATGCTCATGAACAGAGGCAGGGACCAATCCAAAGACAACCCCTGCTACCTGCACTAGGTGAGGGGCCAGGACCTCCAGAGAAGGGAGCAGAGACAGAAATAGCACAAAATGCCAGCCCCAAGGGACAAAGGATTCCCAGCTCTGGGACCCCTCTACCACACGGGGGAGCTTCTGTCACTTATTGCAAACAAGTTTGCTTTCCCACATCCTTGCGCTCTCTCCTGGACTTTTTATTTCTATGCTAAGAAGCAAGTCCACAGACCAGGGAAAGTAGCTCCCCAACCAGGACGCGGCAGTTCCAACAATAATTTGGAGGGTCACAGTCAGGTCACAGCAGGTGGCTCTCAGCTAAGTTTTGGCCCATTTCAAATTGCTGTTCATCCTCCAGCCAGAATTATCTTTCTAAGATGCACCACACTGACTTCCTTGGTTAACATCTTTCAACACCTCCCATTCACCTTCCCTGTGAACTCTTACAAGTAACACAAGGCCATTTATAATTTGTCCCTGTAAACTTGTCCAACATCAGCTACTGCCATTGCCATCTTTTGCAGGCCTGACTCCGGGTTGATTGTGTCCTAATGATGAGACGGAGTAGTAAGTGGTAATGTGTAAGCACTCAGCAGTAAAGGGAAATGCCTTAGCAAGCCAGCTATACCACAATACACCTTCTAACTCAAGGATTGCTTGCTTTGTCCTGTTGACCTGCTGTTTAATGGGTTTTGCTTGCCCTGTAGGCATATGTGGTTAACATTACAAGTGCTAACCAGTATTTCTGGTCCTGCTTCCTAAACAAAAAAAGACTACTTTTCTCAGTCCTCTGAAGGTAGGTAGGGCCTACGTGTTACTTGTTCTAGACAAGACTATGAGGGAAAATACTCTGTGATCACTTCAAGGCCAAAGCCCTTAACCGCCAATGCACAATTTGCTTTCTCTGTTTCTCTATAGATCATGAGAGCCCATTTGGATTTGGCCGTTCTATAAGATCAAAGCAGTCAGGACTACTGAGCTGGTTCTTTAAAAAAAAAAAAAAGATTTATTTATTCAATTTGGAAGGCAGAATTACAGAGAGGCAGAGGCAGAGAGAGAGAGAGAAGTCTTCCATCCGCTGGTTCACTCCCCAATTGGCTGCATCGGCTTGAGCTGTGCCAATCCAAAGCCAGGAGCCAGGAGCCAGGAGCCCAAGGGTGCAGGAGCCCAAGGACTTGGGCCATCTTCTACTGCTTTCCCAGGCCACAGCAGAGAGCTGGATCAGAAGTGGAGCCACCAGGACTTGAACCAGCGCCCATATGGGGTGCCAGCACTGCAGGCGGTGGCCTTACCTGCTACGCCACAGCGCCGACCCCGGAGCTGCTTCTTAAACTAACGTAGACTACTGCTGCCTCGAGAGTCTCCTAGGCATGCAGCAGATTTGATATGAACGAGAATAAACTTTTACTTCACCAACCCATGAGATCTTGGTGCTATTTGTTGTATTATATTCTAATACAGCATGCAACGAGCATCCAGTGGCCAAATCAACAGTGCAGTAATGAGCTTGTCCTTGAATTTTTCCATTTCCCCAATAGATGGACCCTTCTTCTTTTAAACAAGAAAGAACAAGCAACCCAAAACAGAATTGACCATTGGAGCTCACCTTTGCAGACAGGAGGGCTTGGGCTCCAGACGCCTACTGTTTTGTTCTTCACCGTGCAGGAGATGGAGGCCTCGCCCAAGAGTGAGAAGCGAGGATTGCAGCTGTAGGTGACAGAGGAGCCGTAGGTGTGGATGTCTTCATTCCCACCATTGTGCTTCCCATTGATGATGTTTGGAGGGGGCTCACACTTGACAACTGAGAGGAGTGAGGGAAGGCAAAAACAATCAGAGAAGGCCCATCACAAATCTAGAATCCATGCTAATCCTATTGCAGGGTGCAAACAGCAGTAAAGATGCATAGGGCTCTTTAATCACCTAACATAATGTATAATCAAGCTGAAAAAATACTTACTTTCACACTTGGGGAGCGGATCACTCCACTCAACTCCTTTTTCTTGAATATCACAATGACTAGTGGTTGACCCAATTAAGATATATCTGAATTAAGATAGGAACAATGATTTTAATGGAATTCTTCCTACCCTAAATTAAATTGGACAAAGAGAACAAATAGAATGGTTAGTCAATACTCAAATAAAGAAAGAATGTTCTCTGGGACATCACTTCCCACTGAGCACTCGAATCAGTAAGATTTCATCAGGCAATGGAATGTATCTGTCTGTCCTTTCATTCTGTAATCTATTAAGCATCTAGATGTCAAGCATGGAGCTCATCCGGGGCTCAAGTAGGACCAGGGAAGACTCACTTGAGTGTGTCCTGCAGTGGTCTTCGGTCATGAGCACTGTTCTCACAAGAGACAAACTCCAGAGAGCCACAGAAATGGGGCTGGAAAACAGGAAGTGTCTGGTGTATGGGAGTAAGCCACACATCTGGGAGTCAGCAGGAGGCTTCGTCGCAGAGACTGCAAGAGCCTGGGGTCAGTGATCTGGCCAGGACTTGTGCTTCAGATACAATTTGACCCTGCAAGACCTCAAGGAATATTGTTCACTTGAGGCTTCTTAGAAACCCACTGCAGGACAAGCTATAGGTAACCAAGACCTGGCAAGGACAGCTTTAGCAACAACAAAAACAAACACTACTAACGAGCGTTGAACATACAGATCTAAGACAAAGACAGTCAGGATTAAGAGTGACTGAATGAGGGGTTGGCGCCGGGATGCATCTGTATCCCATATGGGCTCAAGTCCTAGCTGCTCCATTTCTGATCCAGCTCTCTGCTAATGTGCCTGGGAAAACAGCAGAGGATGCCCAAGTACTTGGCCCCTGCACCCATGTGGGATACAAGAAGAAGCTCCTAGCTCTTGGCTTAGGACTGGTGCAACTGGCCCAATTACAGCTGTTGCAGCCATTTGGGAAGTGAACCAGCAGATGGAAGATTTCTCTCTCTGTCTCTCCTGCTCTCTCACTCTGCTTTTCAAATAAATAAATAAATCTTTTTTAAAAAATGACTGAATGAAATACAAATATTATGTGGGTGTGCAAACAAAAATACATGGGACATAAGAAAAATGTTTACTATATGCTATTAACTGTCATTAATCTGTTTTGTAATATTTAAAACAATTTTTAAATTTGATAATTTACCTTAATTCATATATTTATGTTTGAAGCATTTAAAGAGAAGCATAATAAATATTCAAAGAGCTCATCAACGAAATGAGAATTCAACTGATTTGCTCAATGGTGGTATGTAACGAATATGTACACATTAGGTATAAGGTAATGTGTCAGAGAGTTGTTCATAATAGTGCAGGATAGGAAATACTCAGGCATCCATCAAAGAGGTTGATGAACCTTGACACATCTACATGTGAAATTCTTGTGCAGTTGAAGAAGGAAATTGGGCACGGCCATCTCTATCCACAAACCTGAAATGTCTCCAGTATATATTGATGAGTAAAAAAAAAAAAAAATTCAAAGCTGCATTTGTTTTAAGAATACATGCTAATCCCTTAGCTTGTATTGAGGTAAGGAAACATTAGGAAGATACTAAAGAGAGGGAATAAAAGTGGATCCTTATTTGAGGATAGGAGGGAATTGAGTGCCTGGAGACGGGATGGAAGCAAAAATTGTCATTGAATACCTTCTTATATCATTTACATTTTGAAACATAAGAACATTTTAGCTACTTTAAAAATTAACTTCATTGTTTCTAGATTACCTCACACTCACCCTTCCGAACAGCTGAATTCTATTTGTGATCCAAAAGAGAAATCTGTCTTAACTTCCACTTGCCCATTAGGTAAGTCTCCTGGGTTTCTGCATCTTTTCTCTGGGAGAAAAATTAAAATGATAAGTAGTGACTCTGCATACCAGCAGATATGGCAATAAAAAGCAGACCGATTGATCTAGTCTCACTGCCACTTTCAGAAAGGCTGAGAGGCTCAGACTCAAATTATTTCTGATCCTGACTCATTGGATTTTTATTTCAGAGGGAAAATGAATGCAAAACTTGATCTCACTTTTTTCTAAAACATTTAACAAACAGGGGAAAATACACAATTAATCACTGTGATAAAAACATCTATGATCAAATATTTAAGACGATGGCCAGGAGACTGGGAAACTTTGGTTCACTGAACTGAGGTTCCTCAAAAATGTGTGTCCTCAGTCACAAAAGACACAAAAATAAGGTATAGATTGCTAACTCTTATTACTGCAGAATGCATTCCTAACTAACAGTAGATCAGCATCTTTCTAACACCACAGGTATTTTGAGTGAGATTTCTTGGGAAACTGTATTACCCTTTCATAGCCACCTAACTTTTTATAATTTTTGTCAAAGTCAACCTGGTTTTCAAGATATCACAATGAAATTTGTGCTTCATTTCTTGAAAGAAGTGTCGGTGAGTTACGTCACTGAGAGCAGTAGACTTCTCAATGTGATTAGCTAATTTTCTCTTTTTTATTCTGCTTTGTTTTACTTCTCAAAAAGTAGCACATGTGTTCATCCACAAACTGGAAGATTCTTGGTGACTAAAGACTCAGGTAGCACCTGGGACAATTTTCCAAATATGGACCAGGCAGACATACAAACAATAATGTTGATACTCACTAACACAGAAGGTATCGTAGCTCCACAGTCCTCTGGGTTTGCAGGTAAGAATTGGATTTAGACCGTTCCTAGTATAGCCAGGGCGGCAGGTGTATTTCAGAATAGTTCCGGTTTGGTACTCATTCTCAGACAATTCACTTATTGAAGAAGCAAACAGTAAATGGGGTGGGGGACCACAGTCGCCTGGACACCGAAATGACAAGGAGTACCGAGCGTCACAACGTGGCCACAGCATCTTCGTGCCTCAGTTAACTGACTTTCAGATCAAGACCATCTTTTCCCGCCAATCCAGAAAAATCATAATTTCTATTTTCTCTCTGTTCAATGGATCCAGTGATTGACCAGTAATAATATTTGTTTATAAATAATAAGGATATGGATAAATGACAAGGATATGGATAAATGATAGTGACAGAGGTAGATTTTTTAATGCCTTTTCTACTATATACGGGACAATTTGCCTAAAAATGAGGACAAACATGAATTTTTCATCAAATCTCCCATCTCTCTAACTCTGATGAGTCTGTACAAAGTCAGGAGTTCCTGTGGCTGGTGCTGTGGTGTAGCAGGTAAAGCCACCGCCTGCAGTGCTGGCATCCCATACGGGTGCCGCTTCCAATCTAGCTCTCTGCTATGGCCTGAGAAAGCAGTGGAAGATGGCCCAGGGTCTTGGGCCCCCTGCACCTGCATGGGAGACCTGGAAGAAGTTCTTGGCTCCTGGCTTCAGATCAGAGCAGCTCCAGCCATTGTGGCCAACTCAGGAGTGAACCAGCGGATGGAAGACCTCTCTCTCTCTTTCTCTCTCTCTCTCTGTGCCTCTCCTTCTCTCTGTAACTCTGACTTTCAAATAAATAAACAAATCTATAAAAAAAAAAAAAAAGAAAAGAAACTCAGAGTCACACAGAGAGAGAAAGAGAGGCAAAGAAAGAGGTCTTCCACCTGCTGGTTCACTTCCCAGTTGGCCCCAACTACCAGAGCTGCACCGATCCGAAGCCAGGAGCCCTCTCCAGGTCTCCCAGGCAGGTGCAGGGGCCCAAGGCCCTGGGCCATCCTCCACTGCTTTCCCAGGCTATAGCGGAGAGCTGGATCGGAAGTGGAGCAGACGGTCTTGAAGCAGCACCCATATGGGATGCCAGTGCTACAGGCGGTGGCTTTACCCGCTACGCCACAGTGCCGGCCCCAGTCTGACTTCCAAATAAATAAATAAATCTTTAAAAAAAAAAAGTCAGCAGTTCCTATGATATTGCATCAACAGAAATATATTATTGCATTAAAAATAGTATTACATAATATTGTTCACAGAAAAGAAATGGAGTGGCAAGAAGATGGGCAAGAATGACAATTTAAATTTACATTTTTTGGCCAGTGCTGCAGCACACTAGGCTAATCCTCCACCTGCGGCGCCAGCACCCCGGGGTTCTAGTCCCGGTTGGGGTGCCGGAACTTGTCCCAGTTGCTCCTCTTCCAGTCCAGCTCTCTGCTGTGGCCCAGGAGTGCGGTGGAGGATGGCCCAAGTGTTTGGGCCCTGCACCTACATGGGAGACCAGGAAGAAGCACCTGGCTCTTGGTTTTGCATCGGCGCAGCACGCTGGCTGTAGCGGCCACTTGGGGGGTGAACCAATGGAAAAAGGAAGACCTTTCTCTCTGTCTCTCTCTCTCACTGTCTAACTCTGCCTGTCAAAAAATGAATAAAAATTTTTAAAAATTTACATTTTTTGTGACTTTTGGGTTTTGAATGATGTGGAGGAGGAAACTTGTAGTCTTTGAAACATAAAATCTTAATCTGACTCTTGTTGCATTATATACTGGACTGATTTATCTTTTTTTTAAAGTTTTTAATTTATTTAATTCATTTATTTGATAGGCACAGAAACAGGGACACAGACAGACTGGAAAAACTTCTATCACTGGTTCCCTCTCCAAATGCCCACCACAGCCAGGGCTGGGCCAGGCCAAAGGCAGGAGCTGGGAACTCAATCCAGGTCTCACATACGGGTGGCAGGGATTCAGCGCCTGCTGCTTTCCAGGGCATGCATTACCAGGAAGCAGGAAGCAGGAGGCGGAGCTGAACTCACAATCAGACACCCTGATATGGGATGCAGGCATTCCGAGCGACGTCTTAACTGCTGGGCCAAACTCCTGCTCTTGATTTACATTTTTTTTTAAAGATTTATTTATTTATTTGAAAGTCAGAGTTACAGAGAGGCAGAGGCAGAGGCAGAGAGAGAGAGAGAGAGGTCTTCCATCTGCTGGTTAATTTCCCAAGTGGCCCCAACAGCCGGAGCTCAGCCAATCTGAAGCCAGGAGCTTCCTCTGGGTCTCCCACACAGGTGCAAGGGCCCAAGCACTTGGGCCATCTTCTACTGCTTCCCCAGGCCATCACAGAGAGCTGGATCGGAAGTGGAGCAGCCGGGATTGGACTGGTAGCACTGCAGGTGGAGTCTTTACCTGCTCCGCCACAGCGCCGGCCCCATGATTTAGGTTTTAAGAACTCCAGTGAAATTTTACACTTCACTGCTCCATTCTGGATAAACCCACAGGCAATGCAAAGTGTTCACTTAGGCTGATCAGTAATATAGATTTATTTGTTTCAGGTCATGGTTAGGAGACAGATTGCTTTAGAAATTCCTGGAGAGGAAATTCTAGGAGGAAATACCTAAAAAATTGCCTCTTTCACACGTAAAGAAAATTCCTCTAATTCCAGCAGGTCCAAAAATCCTTTGTCGCTGAGTCTAGAAGCTTGGCCATCTCTTTTCCAGTCTTCAAAATGAGCATGCGAATGATCTGAACAATTTCTTGTCAGCCTGAACTTGCTTCCCATTACCTACCAAGAACAGGAGCCAACAGAGCAGCGATCAAGATAATCCGGAACAGAGTTTGATCCAAGACTTTCCAGGATCTAGGGACTGGCCTGGCTGCGATGTCCTCCATTCTAGGACAGGTCCCTTTCGGAGCTCTTGGGATGTGCATGATCTGCTGCTTCCCCAACACTTCCTGCTGAAAAAACTCAATTTAATAGACAAAGTCATTGAATTGCTCCTGATTGTAAGGTACTAGGACCAACGATACGGGAATCCTGTCTGCAAGGAAACTACAGCCCACAGTGGAAGAAAGCACAAGGGCATGAGCATGACAAAACGAGACAGCGAGGGTGGCCCCTGGAAGATCTCTGTTTAGCAGAGGGGCTGCCTCCTAGGGGAGGGAGGGCTCATCCAGAAGGCTGCAGCTGGTCTCCACGGCAACCCTGGATACAGTGAGACCCAGTGCAAAGCCCAGAGTAGAGAGACGCTAGGGCCCCCAGAGGCTGTCCCAGGGGTTCCTCTTCCCCCCAGCCAACACAGTGTCCCTGGGAGAAGCTCATCCACATCCATGGCTTTGGCCATCATAAATGAATCAGTTGCACACCTCTGGGCCTGCAGACGCTCCATAAACTCATTGGTTAATTCATTATCTTGGGGCCGGCACTGTGGCACAGTGGGTTAACGCCCTGGCCTGAAGCGCCAGCATCCCATTTGGCCACTGGTTCTAGTCTCAGCTGCTCCTCTTCCAATCCAGCTCTCTGCTATGGCCTGGGAAAGCAGTAGAGGATGGCCTAAATTCCTTGGGCCCCTGCACCCACGCAGGAGACCTGGAAGAAGCTCCTGGCTCCTGGCTTCGGATCGGCGCAGCTCTGGCCATTGCGGCCAATTGGGGAGTGAACCATCGGATGGAAGACCTCTCTCTCTCTCTGCCTCTCCTCTCTCTGTGTAACTGACTTTCAAATAAATAAATAAATCTTTAAAAAAAATAATTCATTATCTTACATGGCCCTGTGCCTTTCTACAACCAATCAGGTCTGTCTTCTTCTTCTTCTTCTTCTTTTTTTTTTTTTTTTTTTAAGATTTATTTATTTATTTGAAAGGCAGAGAGAGAGAGGTCTTCCATCCTCTGGTTCACTCCTCAAATGGCTACAATGGCCGGAGCTGTGCCGATCTGAAGCCAGGAGCCAGGAGCTTCTTCCAGGTCTCCCACGTGGGTGCAAAGGCCTAAGCACTTGAGCCATCATCCACTGCTGTCCCAAGCCGTAGCAGAGAACAGGATCGGAAGTGGAGCAGCCAGGACTCCAACTGGTGCCCATATGGGATGCAGGCTGCAGGCGGCGGCTTTACCCACTAATCCCTAATCCACAGCGCCGGCCCCAGGCCTGTCTTCTTCACTCAGGTTTCTAAGTAGTGGAATTGCAGAATTTAGCCTTAAAACTGTAAGGCTTTCTAAAGTTGATGAAAGAAATCTCAGAAAATCTTTGCTCCCTCTGCAGCTGCAGAGAAACAGCTAACATCTGCATCATCAAACTAGCCTTGCAACTGTTGTTTCTTTTTCTCTCTCTTTTTTTTTTTTTTTTTGACAGGCAGAGTTAGGCGTGAGAGAGAGAGAGAGACAGAGACAGAGAGACAGAGAGGAAGATCTTCCTTTCCGTTGGTTCACCCCCCAAGTGGCCGCTACGGCCGGTGCCCTGAGCAGATCCGAAGCCAGGAGCCAGGTACTTATCCTGGTCTCCCATGGGGTGCAGGGCCCAAGCACTTGGGCCATCCTCCACTGCACTCCCAGGCCACAGCAGAGAGCTGGCCTGGAAGAGGGGCAACCGGGACAGAATCCGGCGCCCCGACTGGGACTAGAACCCGGGGTGGTGCGTCACAGGTGGAGAATTAGCCAAGTGAGCCGCGGCGCTGGCCGCAACTGTTGTTTCTAACAAAAGAGCCCTTCCTAGGCTTTAGAGGTTGTTGCTCTACCACTTGACAGTGGCCTTTCACCTTGAGAAAATCTGCGATTCTGGCCCATGTTGTGGCACAGCCGGTTAAGCAGCCGTCTGCAACAGCCACATCCTGTGTCTGCAGAGCCCGGTTCCAGTCCTGGCTGCTCCACTTCTGATCCAGCTCCCTACTAATGTGCCAGGGAAGACAGCAGAAGATGGGCCAAGCACTTGGGCCGCTGCCACTCATGTGGGAGACATGGATGGAGTTCCAGGCTCTTGGCTTCAGTCTGACCCAGCCTTTTCCATTGTGGTCATCTGGGGGAGTGAACCAGCAGATGGAAGATCTCTCTGTCTCTCTCTCTTTCTCTCTCTCTCCTTCTGCTTCTCTGTGTAACTCTGCCTTTGAAATAAATAAATCAATAAATCTTAAAAAAAAAACCTACAATTCTGGTTATCTTAGCAAATTATTTTATATAATATTTGAATGAATACTTCTGTTTTCTAAAAGTTGTGAAAACTCATGAGTTTTCTTTGCAAATGCAGAAATACATGATGACATTTTCCTCTTCGTCTGCAATCCCGAAAGTAAATCAAAACTTTTGACCATGTTAGATTTCTTATATCAGTAAAAACAAAACAAAACAAAACACGATTTAAAAACACACAACTCCCAAGGTTCAGAGGTTCAGATCAGTATTTCCAAGCAGGCCAACAGGTCCACAGATCACCAACTAAATTCACTTTCTTCCTCCACCTCCCCTGGACCTCCGTGCCTTCTCACCAACATTCCAGACTAGAAATTTGACAACTCCCTGCACCCTCTCACTTGCCCCATTTCCGTCCCCAGAGCCTCATGTCCTGTCCAGCTGGCCACAGCCATGGCACTAGAATCTGCTCTCTCCTTCACTCCAGTTCCACAGTCTAGGATCAGGTTCTCCCAGTTCCCTCCACCCTAACCTAGACCACTGCAAAAGCCTCCAGACATCTGTCAGCCTGCTTGCATGTAGATGCCATTATATTGCAAAGAAGAAATTTAAAGTATGTCATTTTGCTTAAAAACTCCCATGGTCCCCAGTTCACGCAGGTCCTCATTCCTCGCCCAGCTGCCCTCACCCTTCTCAAGTGGAACACTGTGCTTCAGCTTCGTGAACATACTCACCGTTCCCAAAACACACCCTGGATATGTTTAAGCGCCTCCACGCATTTGCACATAATGTCTCCTCTGCATGAATGCTCTTACCTGTAATCTCTCCTTTATCACCGTCCACATGAACCGTCACCTCCTTGGTGGAGAACTGCCTGACCCCACCGAGAAATGTCAGGACTTGCAAGGTGAGAGGCCCCGAGTTTGAGTTCCAGCAACACCACGGTCTAATTCTCTGATCCTGAAGACACTACCCCAATTCCTGGAACTCAGTTTGCTCGTCTCTAAGATGATATTAAACGTAGAGGGTCTATGTTATTCCTTAAAAGCCCTGCCTTGCTGTAACTCCCCACTGAAAAGCTGAGACTACCATACCTCCTACTTCAATGACATCACCTGTTTAATTCCTGGACAAATGAAACCAACCCAAGAATTATCAACCCGGCTCGTCTCTTGTGAAAAGCGCTGTCAGCACTGTTCAAGGCAGTTCAGTTTGAGAGATGCCAGGAAAATCTTCAGTCCCCAAATTTCTCCTGTTAGAGGTTATTTTTAAGTTAGAGTATTTCTCAAAATTCTCCTTTTAACCTTCAGATACCTCTGGAAAGGATAGCTCTCTCTGGTCTCGGGGGAGTGTTGTCTTCCTTGTACCTGGACTCTCATCACATCCCTGGCAAACTCTAGAAAGAAGTTATGAGACAGGAAGTTGGTGTAGCGGTTATGATGCTGTTTGGGACACCCACATCTCACATTGGCGTGCCTGGTTTGAACCCAGGCTGCTCTGCTCCCAATTCCGGTATTCCTGCCAGCGAGCACCCTGGAAGGCAGCAGGTGTTGGCTCAAGCACTCAGGTCCCTGCCACCCACCTAGGAAACCTTGGCTGAGTTCTTGGCTCCCAGCTTTGGACTTGCCCAGCCCCGGCTGTTGTGGGCATTTGGAGAATGAACCAGCAAATGGGAAATTTCTCTCTCTCTCTCTCTCTCTCTCTCTCTCTCTCTCTCTCTCTCTCTCTTCCCTCCTGTCTCTCTCACTCTCTACCTTTCAATAAATGAAATAAATGAAAATTTGGAAACAGAACTTGCTTCCACACTGCCCCTTCACTTCCTAGAATCTCTTAATTTCTGCATCCTTCCATGCCTGTTTTGCATTTCTGATGTATTTCTAAGCTTAACCCATTAAGTCTCAATATTCTATGAATATTGCCACAAAACTCATACAGGTGCATTAAATCGGGATCGAAATCATAAACTAGAGCTTATGTGTCCTTTATTATTGTTAAGAATGAAAATACAGATTGTCCTACACATATAGTCAATCTTACATATAGAAGCTGTCCTATGAGTAAGACATCAGGCAACTGCGATATTCTTCCATACATTACACAACGGACAAAGAAACAGCAGTCATGACCTGTTCAACAGTTATTTCCAGTGGAAGCAGCAAAACACTTCAGGCAAAGGACAACATTAAATTTCTGACACGATGCTATCAGTTCTACATGGCATGGCTTGTTTTGACAAGTCGCTGCTCTTGCCATTTGAGAATAACACAGCTTCTCACGTGAAATCTGATATCGTCTTACATAGTAGCAGACCCAGCAGTATGACACTTTCTTCCTCCTGCTGGTGTTTCCTGGCACCGTTTTAATGTGGGCAGCTGGGTGAAGTGCTACTGGTGCAACCACAAGGCAGTTTGACACTTGCAGCTGATCTGCTGATTGACAGCTCTAGCCTACGACCAGACCTGCACCTCAATGACTGACAGCTCTAAGAGATCTGCGGTTTGACAGCCACTCGCTGTGAGATGGCTCTGGCTGCCCATCCCCAGCCTTGGGACAGCTGTGGCCAGCCCCCATGTGACAGCCCGGCCCAGTCTGCGTGACAGTCCCCTTTCTGCACACCACCCCAGGCAGCCTTCCATGCACCACCAACACCCCCTTCCCATGCAGTGGAAACCACAAGTTTCCCAAGACTGCAAATGTTCAGCCAACACTAGTTGGAAATATCCAGTATGGCTGCAAAATGTGTCCCAGCAATGACCTTATGCCATTATAATAAAATTGCCGGGGCAGGGGGAGCACTCCCACTCCTATCACACACCTGATGACAGAACATAGATATTTCCCAAAAAAACGACATACAAATGTGCAACACTTAAGCCTCGCCCTTTTGAATATGCAAATTAAGCCCCACCCTAGCCATCACCTCCTAGGCCTCCGGATAGTATAAAGAGGCCTAACTCTTGTGAGGACTTTGTTTCTTTGTGAGGGTTTGTTTCCCTGTTTGAGGTCAGTCTTTGTGTTTAGGATTTTTGTTCATTCTCTCTCTCCAGTTTGCCTGCACTTTTCCTGTGCTTTGAATAAATCGCTTTCCCCTGCACATCTTCAATTTAAAGATTTACTTTATTTATTTGAAACACAGAATGACAGAGAAAGAGAGTGAGAGAGAGAGAAAGAGATCTTCCATCCACTGGTTCACTCCCCAAGTGGCCTAGAGGGTCAGGGCTGGGCCAGGCAAAAGCCAGGAGCCAGGAGCTTCATCCAAGTCTCCCACGTGGGTGACAGGGATCCAAGTACTTCGACCACTTTCTACTGCCTTCCCAGGAACGTTAGCAGGGAGCTGGAGTGGAGCAGCGGGAACTGGGACCTGCTCTCTGATACGGAACAGGGCGTGGCAGGCGTCAGCTCAACCTGCTGCACCACACCACCGGGCCTGCACTTAGAGTTCATCCACTTGTGGAGGGAAGAATCTGGAACAAACTGAGCCCGGGAGCCCAGAGCCCACGACGGTTTTCGGTATGCTAAGCAGGTGTCTCGTTTGAAATGCAACAGATTTATGAGGTCTTTCTTGTCTTTGTTGACAAGTCTGTGAATAACTCATGAATTTACAATACACATCTCAATTATTTGAATGAAGAGTGGGCAGTAGAATGTTTTACCTCTAAGATAAGTGGAATGTCTAGAAACCAGGCATGTTTATCCACTGAATAACTGCCACCACTGCAATTGTTACAACTCCATACCTTTGGTTGAGTCACGTTGGTTCTACTCTTTTTTCCATCATTGAGCTTTGCCAAGTGGTTCCCCTGTATAGTGGTTCATTCCAACAGTGACACATTGTTATCTAACCATTTTACAATGAAGATTTCATTATTTGTATCGAATCTATAATCATATGACCCTGTTTTCATCAGTGTTGTGCACTTCTGAGGAAACTTGCTTAGTTTGTCTTTTTTTTCATGCCGCCTATAGGTAGGAATCCAGTATTCTGAAGATGTACCAACAAGTCATGAGCAGTGAATAGACTGTCAACAGGAATAGGTGTGACCATGGATCTCTACCAGTTCAAGCATTTGTAGAGCTATTCCCAAGCACAGAGGTCACAGCTTCTCAGCAGATACACAGGTAGTGACATGTTAGAATTGCGGGGCGGCAGTGTGTTACCACGCACCTACCATGCAGGCCACATTCGACCAGGGTCTTATTTATAGGAGAGCTGTCTTAGAGCATTGACCACTTGCAGCACAGTGCATTCTTTGAAATGACAACCTGGTTCTAGAAAATAATTTTATGAATGCAGTTCTTAAATTAGATATTGGTTATATACATAATCTTTTGCTTAGTTGACCATTTAGTAAAAGTTACTTATGTGTAAAGTTTATGCCATTTTACAATAAATTTCAAAATATTTTCAAACACTGCAATAATCATTAACCTATTACTTTTCCCAAAAGAATAGAAATCTAAGATATAACATTTATTTCAAAGTTACTATAGGGCATATTTATTGCTCAATTTAAGTTTTTATAGGATGATGGGACACACTAAGTTAATAAAAACTTTCCACAGTTCTCATTCTCCTGTGCATCCTACTCTTCATTTTCCTGGTATCACCATGTTTAGGGACAGAATAGGAACCAACAAAGAGACAAGTGCCTGGAGAATAAAACAGAAGAGAAGGGAACTGCATCCTGGCTAACCAAGGTAGATGAGAACTTCAGTAAGAAAAGGTGCGCACATTGTCCCGTTCAGAACACGTGGAGAGAAAGGAGACCAGGCCGACTGGGGCTTCCCGCTCCAGACCCTACCGGAGGCGGACCAGTGTCCTCCTGTTGCCAAATCTAAGAGCCATAGCTGTCAAGGGTGGGGAGTTGGAGCCTTACAGAATCTCCTTAGAAAGAGGCACCCAGTTTCAGAATCTAGATTATGAAAACCCTGTCTCCGTAAGCCAATAGGGAGGCCTCTCTGGGGAGTTGCGAACGATCCACAAACCAGCACACTCATCTTTTAGATACAATCATCAGAGCACACTAATCTTACACTGCTCTTCTTCTTTGGTTTGCTTTGTTAGTATGCAATATTATTATCCTCCCATTTATAATGTAAAAAACTGAGGATCAGAAGGGGATAAAAGCACTTTTTAAGTCACACAACTGCCTGAAAAGAGTCTGCTGCCAGTTTCTGTCTCTGTCTTACCTTTAGAATCCTGCACTCGTTTCGAAGTGACAAACCACCAGAGACCCCAGAGCCCCCGAGCACTGAGTAGCCCACTGACCTGCAGCAGCAGAGGGAGAAGCAGCAGACTCTGAAGGTGCTCTGCGTAGTTTCCCAAGGAACAAGACACCCTTGACCTCTACAGGCCGCAGGCAGTTCCTCCGCAGATCAGAGTCTCTCACAACGCCCCGAGGCTGGCCAGAAATCGCTCCGCCACAGACATCCCTAAACTGCAGCCATGCTGTTGGCCGGACAGGATCAGCTGAATGGCAGTGGACAGCAGAAACTCCCTACCTGCCTGGTCAATGATTAACAGCAGAAACGAAGCAGCCGCAGGGCGGGCCTGCTCTTTCCTCTTCGCTCCTCCTCCTCGTTGTTGATAACATGTTGCAATCGTTTTCTTTTCTCCTCTGCCAACCATTTCCCCTAAGTGAAAGGTAATTTGAATTTGATGTCAAAATTCTTTTCCCTTTCTGCAAACACAAGAGGGTTGTGCCGGCGTAATCCAGCTGGCCTGGAAATCTTGGCTGCTCCAGGGTTCAGAGAAGTTCCACAGAAATGACCATTTCCCATGACACCAGGCCTGGCGAGCTTCCCTGGGACTCAGGGACAGAGTCTTGCCCTGCCCTGGTATCCATCCCATTCCAAAGAAGTATGGAAGACGGGAACTCATCAGACACTCACTGAGTTCCTGCAGTGTGTTCAGGGCTCAACTAATGTTGACCTCCACCACCACCATTGCATGTCGGGCCCCCTAGGACCTCCAGGGGGTGGTCTACCATTGAGAGCTGCTCAGGAGAAGGCAATGAAAGACAAACTATTTACCTTCATATTGATCCGGGAAGGACGCCCAGCCCCGACATCATCCATTGTTAAAGTTTCCACTCTGTGTGTTCAAGAAATTGCTATGATAAAGCAAATTGTTTCTGACAACTTTTTCTGGAATAAACATCTAACGTCACATTAAAGGTTCCAGAAAGGAAGACACCTGCGTCTAGCAGGCTGTTAATCGAGGAGGCCTTGACCCGAGGTGTGAGTTAGGCTGGGCTTTGAATAGGAAGCAGAAATCATTCGATGGAGAGAGAAGGATTCTACATGTAAATAAAGCAGGTCTCAAAGGTGTGGGGCTGATTGGACAGGAACAAGCGTAGAAGAGGTTTCCTGATCATCAGTCTTGAGAGTTAATTTAGAGGAAATTCCACTTTTAAAGCTGGGTCTTTTTAAAAAAAAAAAAAAAAGATGTATTTAATTTGAGAGGCAGACTTACAGAGAGAGAGAGAGAGAGAGAGAGAGAGAGAGATCGTCCATCCTCTAGTTCACTCCTCCCCAAATGGCCACAATGGCCAGAACTGGGTCAGTCCGAAGCCAGGAGCGTCTTCCAGGTCTCCCACATGCTCGCAGGGACCCAAGCACTTGGGCCATCTTCTGCTGCTTTCCCAGTCCACAGCAGAGAGCTGGATCAGAAGAGGAGCAGTGGGGACTCGAACCAGCGCCCATATGAGATACCAGCGCCACAGGCGGAGGCTTAGCCAACTATGCCACAGCGCTGGCCCCAAGCTGGGTCTTAAAAATACTATTTCCCAATGCACTAGAGGACATTTTGCTTTCCGTGGTGATTGTTGCAAACTTCTTTACAGCTCAGCACACTGTCTTACTCTCAGCAGACGATCTTGCCTCCTTCCTTACTGAGTAAGGAAGTTTCACCAAGTTTCTTCTGGTTACTCCTGATTTGGAGCGGGGTAGGGTGGGGTGGTGTCTCTTCTTCTCTACCTCATTGTCACAATGTGCCTCTCATCCCAAAGTGATCCCTCCATCTCGCTGGAACCTCAAACTCCGTTTTGGTCTTCACTGTGATGCTGAACTTCTCGCAGGTGTGGCCTGTGCCGCCCCCAGCCTGCTGCGGGCATGCTGCTCTGAGGTGTGCCCTGGACCCAAAATCTCCTTAATTCATTTCTTGTGACTTCTCAGTAGTCTTTAAAAAAAAAAAAAGATTTATTTATTTGAAAGTCAGAGTTACACAGAGAGAGGAGAGGCAGAGAGAGAGAGGTCTTCCATCCAATGGTTCACTCCCCGATTGGCTGCAACGGCCAGAGCTGTGCCAATCCAAAGCCAGGAGCCAGGAGCTTCTTCCAGGTCTCCAACGTGGGTGCAGGGGCCCAAGGACTTGGGCCATCTTCTACTGCTTTCCCAGGCCACAGCAGAGAGCTGGATTGGAAGAGGAGCAGCTGGGACTAGAACCAGCGCCCATATGGGATGCCGGTGCTTCAGGCCAGGGCGTTAACCTGCTGCACCACAGCGCCGGCCCCATCTCAGTAGTCTTTGACACCCCTGCTGTTGTCCTTTCGGAAAACTCTCTTCTGCTTTTGCCCCCACTGCCCTAAACACTCCAGGTTCCCTCAAGTTCTAATACCTCCTTCCTCCCTCTCATCCCTCAGTAGACATACATCCCAGGGGCTCCCCAACCCCCAGTTTTTTAGAATAGATTTTTCTGCTCACAGTTTTAATGACTTCCCTCCTCTCGCAGCGTTCAGCACTTGCGATGAGAGGACGCCCTGCTCTGTGTCCCTGCTTGCTCTCCGAAACTCAAGACTTGTGGAGGGTTTTGCTCACTGGACACCTCACAAGTGGCTCATAGTCAGCACACCCACAGAGGACCTTGTCCTCTCCTGCCCAGGTCACCCCAACTTTCATCCGGGCTCTCGGCAACGGGTTTCAGACCCCCTTGGAGCTCTTTCTCCCCTGCCCTCCGAGTGTCAGTCGGTTGGCAAGTTGTTTGGCTCAGACTTTCGCAGGCTGCCTCGTGCCTTTTTTCTCTTTCCCCTGCATCAGAGCAGCTGGGTCATCATTGTTTCCTGGGTAGCTGGCTCCATCTGTCTGTACTGCTCTCACAGAATACCTGAGACTGCCTAAGATGTCTATTTCTTCTACCTGGAGGCTGGGGGTGCAAGGTTGAGGGCCTGCAGCTGGCAAAGGCTTTCTTAGCGTGTCATCTGATGATGGAAGGTGGAGAGACAAGCGAGCATGCCTACAAGAGAGAGGGGGAGGGGACTGAATCCATCCTTAGTTATCATGGGAATGCACTCCCACGGTCACTAACCCCAGTCTTGCCATAATGGCATAAAGCGGGAGGACTTAGCCTTAATGACCCAACACAATCACCTCTTAGAGGTCTCCCGACTCGGCGTCGTCACACTGGGGATTAAACTCCCAACACATGGACTTTGGGGGACATACTGAAATGTAGCCGTGGACTATTACAGGAACCCTTGTGTTGGTTTCTGCCCCGGTTCTTCTTCTGCTTCAACCAATACCGCATGTTGTGGTGAGATAACTCCTCCTCTTCGCCCTGTCCTTAGCATTTGCTTGTTTAAAAGTGTTCCATGTATCCTCGCTACCCATCAAAATGAGCATAAGTTCTCTACCATGCCATTCAAGGCTCTGCGTAAACTGATGTTAGCCTGACTTTCCAGCCTTCTCTCACCTCTCCCCACTGCATCCAGACCAACCAGAATGTGTGCTATTCCCAAAACATTTCCCACTTTTCCTGTCTCTGTACAGTGTTTTTAAAAAGAAGTACTATCAAAACATTTCAAAACATGTTAGCACCTCTCCCCCAACCATTCTAAGACAGCTGTTTGCATCGGGACCTATGATGGCCCAGACCTTTCCCACAAGGACAGAGGGCTTATGGGCTGACACCATGGTTCACTTGGTTAATCCTCCGCCTGCGGCGCCGGCATCCCATATGGGTGCCGGGTTCTAGTCCCAGTTGCTCCTCTTCCAGTCCAGCTCTCTACTGAGGCCCGGGAGGGCAGTGGAGGATGGCCCAGGTGCTTGGGCTCCTGCACCCACATGGGAAACCAGGAGGAAGCACCTGGCTCCTGGCTTCAGATTGGCACAACGTGCTGGCTGTAGCGGCCATTTGGGGGGTGAACCAACGGAAGAAAGACCTTTCTCTCTGTCTCTCTCTCTAACTCTACCTGTCAAATAAAAAACAAATAGAAGGCTTACATGAATGCATTAATAAATATTCTACTCTTTCCTAAGATCATGTTTTTAACATTGTCCCTTGCACCAGTGGATGAATCTTAGGAGTGGAGTTACTTCGAGAGCTCATGACTCACTTACTTATGCCATTTCTTGGATCTCTTTTCTGCTCCTCCTTAATACTTGGTTTCCAAACGTCTCTCACCCTTGAAGGCCGCATGACCACGGCTTCCTCCCTCGGGATGCTGCAGCTTCCTCCCACACATGGACTCTTCCTCTCCTCCGTGGCCCGTGGCGCGACCCTGGGGGACAGCGTCCAGTTCCCTGTAACCACCCCAGAACAACGCCCTGTGTGTCCGCTCAGAGCGTCCCCCTGTGTGTCCGCTCAGAGCGTCCAGCCTGCTTCAGATACCATGTCTTGGGCTGCTTTGTGATTCTGCCTGGAGGTTGGCCAATCTTTCAAGGCATCTGGGATATTTTGGTTATGTGTCATTGCGCTTTTCCTCTGTGTTCAGGTGAGGGTCCGGGTGAAGATGAGAAGCTTATCACGTCAGATAAGGATGACGTCTTGACGGAAAGCCCTAGAACTCCCGTTCTCACTACCCTCTGAAAAAGGACATTCACTGTGCAGCAGCACCTCAAACCTCATCCGAAAGGCAGCCTGGAGCGTTCCCACAGAAGGTCCTACCAGGCTCCGGAAACCACACAGAGGGGACTCGGGAGAGAGTGCGGGTCCTTGACTGTGCATCTGCCTCAGTGGGTCTTTCCAAGGGTGGAACTGTTCCGAGCTGATTACCCCAAAATAAGAGGTAAATTTTTGCCTCCTAAGTTTTGGTTAACTTGAGGTTAATTTTGCCTCGTTATGTGCACTTCCAATTAAAAGATGAGGTACACTCTTGGCTGAGATCCACCTCTCCTCCTCTCACACACAGGAAATTAAACTCT